CTAGGAAAAGTTTAGCTGCAAATACGAATTTATGCACTTTCATTTTAATTCACTTTTCAAGTTAATGCACGATAATTATGCGATGCACTTTATCGCTTTAAAAAATAAATTAAAAACGCATTTCTAAAATGACTTTAATGTCGGTTCTCCTCGTTAATCTTGAATCTGCAGGTTTCTTCTTGTAATATTACATAAAGATTCGCTTTCATTCCTCTTTTTCAATTTCGGACTTCTGCTTCTTAATTTTGTACATAGGCATAATTATACAATTATATAAAAATTAACATAACAATTTTTAAGCATTTAAAAATTCGACAATATATGTATATATATTTTAAGAATCAAATCCTCTACCTCTTAGATTTCTATCTTAATCCATAAATCTCGAAGTCCTTGAATTTCCGAGGAGTCTCGAGGAATTAAGAAAAAAGCAAGTAAATAGAAGTGGCGAAGGGGTTGAAGTTGTGTTTCAACCAATCCGCCATTCACACAGTACTTTGCTCACTCTTCTCTTTCTTCTCGCTTATTTCTCGCTCTTCTCGCCGCTTCTCATTCCATGGGAAAACGTTTCTATGCCGGTCTTCGGGATAAATAGTTTGCACAGGAAAAGGATTTCTCCACGCTGGCAATTTATCTCGAACGTACGCGGCTCCATTAAGCGGAGACGCAACTCTTTGAGTCTGGAGAGTGTAGGATGTTGCGGATTTGGGATTGCGCATGGATTTAGGGCTGTAATCGTAGGATTTCGGGACGCTTGGAACACGACGACAAGGCCGACGATAATTTCGGAGGAAATTACTTTGCGTAGAATCGTGCCGAGATTTTTGATAATTTTTATTTTTACCAGTGTAGATTATTGCTTTTTCTTTGAAAAAGGAGAAAAAAAGTAACAATTTAATAAATATTAATTGAATATAATTTTTTAAAAACTCTTTATCACATTATTAAAATACTTTTATTAACTTATTAATTAGTTATAATAATAAATCAATAAAATGAAGTTCTATTAGTACATGTTAATTATATATTTTATATTTATATTTAATTATATATTTATATTTTCCGAAATATAGAGATTTATGTATGATTTAATTAACTTTTTTTTTAAATTTCTTTTATATATTTTTCAATATCTTTTAAAATTATAGATCATTAAATATCTTTTAAATATCTTTAAAGTTTTCTCCATTCAAGAGATTATAATTTATAATTTTCTTTATCGACTTTTTCGATATGTGTATGGTCAAATTATTTAATTTTCAGAATATATACATGTATACATATATATATATATATAATTTTATATATATACATATATACATATTTACACACACATACACACACACACACACACACACACACACACACATATATATATATATATATATATATATATATATATGTACATATGTAATACATAAAAAATTATGTAGTTACTGATTCTAAACTCGCGGACTTGTCTTTGTTGAGCACAATGAGTCTTTTGCGGAAATAGTTTACGCGACTGTGAAAAGAAATCAATATGGGCTGGCAGGAAGAGTCTTGGCCACGAAAGAATCGACAGCTGCCGCTTTCTGCGGCAATAAAGTTAAGAGGCCTTAAAGTAAAGAGGCAGTTTAAGCTTAAGGCGTTTGCCAAGTAATGTGGTCTTTGTACAAAATGAATTCAACGGAACGGACGAAGTGAGACGCCATCCTAGAAAGTTTATTTTCCGGTAACGAGTCGCGAAGAAATTTTAGGAACTCGGAAGCATATACTTCATGAATGTGTGTGACCTCCACTACCTCAGTGAACCACTACCTGCAGTTCCAACATTCTAAAAACCTTCAGCCTTTTTATGAAAATAGATACAACCACAAATATTTGGAATTATTTTCTACCTTGGAAATATTCATTGTTATAAAATTTAATTAATTTTATAAATGATTTCAAATTTAAAAAAAAATTTAAAAGTCGAAAAAGGATACAATGTATCTGGAAAAAACATATTTTTTGGCTAGATTTTTAGTTAAATAGACTCTTCAATCTTTTTATTTATAACTCATGATATTAAGTAGCTTTTATCCTTAAACTCTTTCTTATGAATTTCTGCATCCTTGGGCTTTCGTGCGCTTGAACCTTAGATCCTCAATCTGCGGCTCTAGGGCCGTAACTTCCGGTACAACACCATTACAGCGAGGGGAAAGAAGAAAAGAGAGAGATAGAGACAAAGGAACATAGAGAATGAAAAGGAAGGGCGGAAGGTAAGAGACGGAGGGAAAGCAATCAATCTTTGAGAGGCAGATGAGTGCGGGAACCTAAAATATAGGGCAACACAAATTTAGTCTGGCTGCCGGTCCACGTCCACGTGTCGACGTGAATGCGCAACCGCCCGGGTTTGTAATCGATATTGCCGACAAGGCACCACGCCCTGCACCTGCGAGATGTGCCGGGATATGCAATGCCACCGAACTGAACCTAGTCGAACCTTGTTCAGGAGTATCTCTCTCTCTTCCTCTCCCCCCCTCTCTCTCTCTTTCTCTCTCTCTCTCTCGCTCCCTCTCTCTCATTCTCACTCGTTTTATTCTTCTCTTTTACGTGTGCCCTTTTGCCCTATCTTCTCGAGCGTGCTTCGAAACTTGGACTCCTTTTGAAGCTCGACTCTTCGAGTCCTAGATAAACCGACTGTTCAGTCCCATACGCGACAACCCGATGTCTCCAACCTTCCCCGGGGATCTTCTCTATCTTTCTTACTCGGTTATCTTTTTTCTTTCATATATTATTCGGAACTTTAGTCTTTTTCAGAAATGTTCCAAACTTCAATAATAAATAACCGGATGATCTATTTTAATTAAAATTAGATTATTCGAGTTTATGTCCTAGTTCGAACCTAATCTTAAACATCTTACGTATTCGTTTGTACATTCGTACACTCTTCTCGAGTATGTTTCGAAACTTAAAAGATTTTAGGATTTCTCCTTTGAAGCCTGATTCTTCTTTGAGTTTTAGATAAACCGATTGTTCAATTCTATACGCGGCAACGTGATGCTTATCTCGAATCTAGTAAAGTTTCCTTGGGGACGCTTTATCCCTCTCGCGTGCTTATTTCTCTTCTCAAATATTGTTCGAATCACTTGAATCGTTTATTTAGAGATTTTCAAGTTTCCGATAATTTATTTTAAGATAATTAGATTAAAAATTCTTCGTGAATATGTACTAGATATGAATTTTCTGCAGATTTATATTAGCTTTTAAGATACAGTTGTGTTCGTCGCAAATGATACCATGAACTTAAGCGATGTCAGAGTCCTTCAAGCTCTTCAAGTTCTAGGTAACTCAATTATTAAATTTGACAAGTGATCGATCTTTCACACGCTTTTGCTTTCATTCATGCAAAAAATTTTAAAGACTCTAATATTATGTATTTTACACAAAAATGAGTACAATTATAAATTATAATAATTTCGGACATCTATTGTTAATATTTAAAAACTATCTACTCGATGAATACTACATTGATGAAAAGATTTTACCGAGTACTCCGGTTTCGCACAAAAAAGCTCCAAAAGGTTTAGAAATACTGTTATAAAGCCGTCGCGTCATTGACTCTGATCCATTCGAGGCCAACTTCGCCTACGGCTGATTTTTTTGTGTTACAGTGTCGGAAGTAGGCCAGTGCAAACCGCCATCCCCTTATCCGGCATTATGTCCGTCTTATGAATTTTTAGGCGAAAAATTTCGTGTGAAAATGAAAAAGTTTCGCCATCCATTCTTGTCTTTACGCAGGATAAAAGTGCAAATATTGTCGTATATTCATTTTCCCGCTGACCACATGGACGTTCTCTACAATCCAGATTCAGGATGTGATAAATAGCGCGGTCATTTCCACGATTTTTATATGAAAGGAACACATAGCATGGTCTTACGATAATCATATAAAAGAATAAAAAAGCTTGAATCAACATATACAAATAGGAGATAATATATCTAATTTATTTGAGCAATATAAATAAATTATTCTGTTTGTATACACACAAATAGAAAAAGATTGTAATTTTCTGAATTAATCTTATGTAACAGATGAACAGAGGAAGTTAAGTAAATATGTACGACAATATGACGAACAACTGATGCATAATTAATAGATTTATTACGGATGTTTCAATATTGAAATATTTAACGTTTGTTGTTTGTCCTCTTTATTGTTATAATATTTGAACATTTGAACATTTTAAACAAAATGCTTTTAAAGTCAATAAGTAGATTGATTAGATAAATAATATATATTTTATACTGTTTAAAGTTATAAAATTTCAGAGTCGATAATAAAAGCTAATTGTAAGCAAAAATTTAATGAAATCCTGTTTTAAATAATTCAATAATCAATACATTAAACATTTTTGCAATTAATGATGCTTAAATTAAAACTCGATTTTTAATTAGAGTTTATCGTAAAGTATAAAGTAACTGTCTCCTAAGATTTTTTTAATATTCTGATATTTTGAAATAAGATATTAAAAATTATAAGCTTCTTAAATTCTTTTATTTTTTCTGATCTTCGATTTTTTCAACATAATCAACAAAGAGTTTGCTTTGCTCGAGAAAGTTTGTTAAAGTTCGTTTCGTTTAAAACTCTCAAGTGAACCACTAAAACGTCTAAATACATATTACGTTAATGCATTGATCTTTGAGATATTAATCTTGTAATCTTCCTATTGTAAAAAATAGTTTTCATGTATCTATGCATGTTTGTTTTACATATTAATTACTTTTTATTAAAAACTGTTTTTATTTTTGAACGTCATTATTATCGTATATTATATTTAAGTATATTATTTGTATATTTATATGTATATGTTTATTTGTATATATATATTTATATGTATTGTTTATTTGTATATGTATATTTACATGTATGTTTATTTGTATATGTATATATATATATATATATATATATATATATATATATAATTATCTATTATTATTATTTATTAAATCGCACATTTTCTGTTATGTTTTAGAAGCCGACTATACTTTAGATGATTCCTTTTGGAAAGAAGAAGAAACTCCCGTTGGTAAGTAAATATGCACACACATTACACATATATAGTATTACATAATGTATAATCAGTCCAAATTAACGTTAAGCTTAATTATCAATAATTTTATTATCATAAATAATAATTACATAGTTTAAAATATATAATCGACTAATTTGTAAAATTATCGAAATTCAATGTGCAAAGCTTTATGAACAAATTAATTGATTTATTCTTTTCCCTCTATATGATTGATTTCGATTTAACTAAACAGTTGAACTTTAGTCCCATCATCATTTTACATAACAAATCTATAACGTAATTAATATACTATTGTAAAAATTTACAAAGATCTGCTACCGCAATTTTTGCGTAATTGCGATGGCTGCGAGATAAGACTCTGCGTAAACAAACCACCGTAAAGTGGAAGGACCGCAATGCAGCACTTTCGTTAGAAACTTGATCCTTGAGGATACGACAAATCCTCGAGAGCGGTTTATTGTTAAGTCAACACCACTGATTGGTCGGAAACGCGAAACTTAAATTGGATTACATTTTAGACGGGGACAATGCACGGGGACAGAACTCGACGGCGCGAATTCCGGCCTAGATATTACGATGATTGTGTAATGGGAAATCTGCCTTAAGAGAAGAAAAATTTCGAGTTATTTTAGCTCTATTTTAATCTAGCTTTAAAAGCTGAGAAAATTCTACATAATATGTAACATTGAATGCAAGATTTGTTGGAATTAAGAAATTTAATTAGAGATTAGGGTGTAAAGCGATGTTGAGCGTACACGAGCAAATAGCAATAACGCATAATATAAAATTTAATTTAATTTGATGTACCACTTGAATATTTACTCAGAAATTTAATTTATGACTTAATTAATCCTAGATTGAAAGTGGAAAACACATTACGGGCATGCTGGTAACAGAGAACCTAGAAATACAAAAAATTAAGAAATTTAATTAAAAACTAAAGTTTAAAGTAATGTCAGATATTGTGTTGTACGGGAATATAAAATTCGACAATTATAAAGTGTCCGATTATCCTACGAAAAATTCCAAGAATGAAGTCTAAAAATAAACGTTACAGCCTTCTAATGAAAAATTAAAACTGTTGGAAAAGAATTTCTGCCGCAATAAATATTATTGCAGAGCAAAATATAATAATGATAATCATCGAATAAATCAATTGCAAAATACTTGTGATATTTCTGCGGTAACAACAATAATCAGCGAGAGAAAAAAGACGGGAAATTACGAATAATATGAATAAATTAATTGGCGAGTAATCTTAACGAATTTAGGCGACGTTTAAGAATTAAAGATAAAAATTAATTTCGTAAATCTCATTCGACAAACTTCTCAAAAGAAGAATACGAAATAATTCTTGAATCACGTTGAATAAGCATCATTGGCCCAAAGGAGCTCTCAAACAATCAATGTCTATCTAGGTAATGGCAATTCTCCACATGCAAGGTATTTTACAATCTCTCAGATGGGATAAACGCAAGTGGCAATGAAAAATATAAATTGTTTGTGAAGGATCAAAAATATGAATTAAAACAATGTGACAATAATTTTAAATTTAAATCATTAAATTACTAATTTAAAAGTGTAAAATTTCAATAGTTTACATTAATAAATATTACATTATTAAATATATATAACATTATAATGTTTTAAGAAAAATATGTGCATATCGTCAATTGACTCGCGTATGAGAAGATTTGAGGGGAAAAGCCGATTTCCTTTTATACATAAAGAAATCGGATCAATCGAGATTAAGGGGATTAATACATGGATACAGACGAAATGGGACAATAAAATCTACTTTATTACTACCATTATTATTGAGTCATACGAACTAAAATTTCCACGGTGATGGTTGAGAGGGCAGGTTAATGGCAACAGTGCGATGAATCTCTCCAAAGTCCATTCGAGATAAAATTAGAGATCGTAGGGGTAAAGAGGGACGGCCAAAGAGTGGGGGGTAAAATTAGGGCGTTCGATTGAACGTGGAAATTGATTTCAGGTGAGGTCGAACGACTACTACGCGAATATCGACAAAACCAGGAGCTAGTACGAAATATCGGTGGCCATTTCTATCAGATCATCTATCCGGTACAGCTACGGCATCACGAGAAAATGGGGATATCCACGAGAGAAGTTGGTGTGTCGAAGGTAAAGTCACGTTGCTTTCTATACTGTTTTTTACACATGGAGATACTTTCGAAATGCAATAAAAATTATTAAACACATTAAAAATTATAGAAAATTATATAATAAAAGAAATTATATTATGAAAGAGTCTTGCAATTTTTATACATTATATATTTTATACATTTTAATTAATATATATTATATCTAATGTATTTATATTATCTCTCTATAATGTCATAATTATTAATATATAATCATAATTATTAATATTCCCATTAATATAATGGTTAATTGTACTATGAATTCAATTTAGTTTCCTCAAAGAGGTTACGGAGATGGAGGATATCAAAATGCTAGAGGCAGAATGAGAGTAAGTTTTATAATATAGATATTTTGATAATTATTTAATTATTAATGTAATTTTCGAGGTAAATAATTGTCCTTAAAATATTTTTACCGATGAAAATTAATTGCAATGTTGGTATTTTCAGACAGGGAGACATTTTCACCGGACGTCCCTTCTAATCAAGGCCTTTAATCACAAATTTCGCCTAGATTTAGAATTAAATACGTAAGTGTGTTTCCGATATATAGTAATTAAAATATATTTTTAATGTATTGATAATATTTCACAAATGATTCGAATTGTAAGAGGTTTAATTAAAACAATTTTATATTTATTAAAAGATTAGTATACATTTTTGATGAAAAAAATCTTTTTTCTTGTTGTAGGCAACTTCTAGCTCCAAATCTTATGCAGAAAGACTTTTTATCCGGTGCGGAACAAATAAGTAAACAGGTAAAATGATTCCAGTAAAAATATATACAACAATCTAATGACACTTCAATATTCACGTGACACGAACCGACACATTCACAGTTATTAATAAAAGCATATTCTTGCATAATTGATTATTTCGCTCTGTAAGCTGTTACAAAACGAATTTAGTTTAATCAATTACTTTCGATATAAATGATCTCATTACCGTGTCAGAGATCTTTCCAGACATGAGCGCTAAAAAGGATAGGATAAAAAAAAGCTCTTTCTAGATCGACAGAGTTAACGAGTTATTTTAATATCACGAAGAGAAAAAAATGTCACATATATAAGTATATATACACTGTTATATTATTCATTTTGTTAAATTGCATTTATTTGCAAAAGCGGAGTCCACTCTATATAAATGAGAGATTTATATAAAATTTAAAATTCACGTGAAACTTGAGTATTAAGAGAAAGATACTCTCGAGTATAGCGTATAGTATAATAATATTCAGGATGGTGTTATTAATCCTTGCAGGAGATAGAACATTGTTATTATCATGGCACTGTGAGAGATTATCCAGGAGCAAGCGCTGCTTTTCATACGTGTAATGGTGTCAGTGGTGTCATTCATTTAGGCAACGAGACTTTCGTCATTCATCCATTTTACGGCGGCGATTTGTCGGTCAGTGAAATTACTTCTCATTAATTATCATAAGAAAATGTTAAAATAATTGTGTATATGATACTTTTATAGGAACTATCACAAAATTCTTTAACGAATGCTTTTTAATCAAATGCTTCCAAAATAATATTTGTATACTACAGATTATTAATAACAAAAAAGATTAATAATTACTTTTATTATTGTCAAAAAATATTAGAATAATTTTAAACTAATAACTTATAATAATAATTATCTCACACACATATATATATGCAATAAAATGGACGAAAACCTAATTTGTGCCAACTCACATACACAAAGCGTGCACTATGTCGAAATAATTCGCCGAGGCGACTAAATCCGAATCAAAAGCTTTGAATTCGAGCTGGCTAATTTGGCTCGATTTTATTACTAGATTAGACATAACTTCGCGGAAGTTTAGGTCGTGCTATAATTAAATGGAATGTCGAGTGTCGGGAACGGATGCAAGATGGCCGGCAAGAACATAAACTATATGCAGGCCTCTCTTTTAGCAGAAACATCCTCACATTATATTTGAAGCCCGAACAAAAGTTAACAAAGGCTGCGCTAATTCGGGAAGTCTTGACTGGCGTACAAAAAACCGCCGGCAGAAGCACATTTACGGACTATCAAAGATCACTTCCGATCGATATAAAAGAGACGTCCGTGAAGCAACCAAATACATCGAAACTGCCATCATTATCGATAAGGCTATGGTACGCGTTATTATTACATATATTTTTATTATTATTTTATTATTTATATATTTTTTATATATATTTATTTTATAAAATATTTATATATTATTTATATATATTTTTTATTTATCTTTTATTTATATTTTTATTTATATTAATAATACTTTTTTATATTTATACGCATACAGTTTGACAAAAGAAACGGTAGTACCAGAGCTGAGGTTGTTCACGATGCCATCCAAGTCGCTAATATCGCAGATTTGGTAAGCTCGATACGCGCATAATTTATCACGATAAAATATGCGCTAATTCTTGTGAATTTCTTTTACAGTATTTCCGTACGTTAAATACTAGAGTCTCCGTCGTATACATCGAAACTTGGAAAGGTAGCAACCAGGCACAAATCGATAACGGTATCGACATCGGTCAAGCCTTGTTAAATTTTAATGATTATACGATGCGGAGAATGTTTCAAGTTTCTCAGGATACCACCCAATTGCTCACGTGAGTTCATCATTTGTCTTTCGATTTTTCCCCAAATCCAAGTTAATTTTTTTAATGCTAAATATTAAACATCCTATACATAGGTACTTTTATTTTGTCTAACATTATTAATTTTCTGAATAATAATTGAAGATATATTCTCATGATGACAGGGGTGAGACATTCTCAGGTGGAGAATCAGGGGTGGCTGTATCCTCGACCGTGTGCACCCAAAGATCCGTAGGAATCAGCGTCGATTTAAACACTTATGAGCCTCATCTTTTAGCTGGTACCATGGCTCACATGATCGGTCACAATATCGGCATGAGCCACGACGATGGAAGTTAGTATATCATGCATTTATCTATTTTAATTTTCTGACATAGTAATCGGATCTCTTGTGCAAGCAGAAAAATAATTTTCCTCTCCGAAAGCGATAAAATTTTCTGTCAAAAATTCTAGGAAACGATTGCAATTGCCGCGACTGGCATGGATGCATCATGGCTCAATCCATCGTCGGCTTAGAAAACGTTCAGCCGTATAAGTTTTCCGAGTGTAGTAAAACTGATTATATAGAAGCCTTGAAGAACGGCCAGGGATTCTGCCTTTTTAACAAACCAAACGAGGTAAATCGGAAATCTACTTACGATTAATTAACGTTTCCATCGAATTAGAGGGGATCGAACGGGATTTCAATTAACATTAATCGATCGGATCTGCTTTGGGTTAGGTTGAGATGAGGAAATGCGGAAACAGGGTAATCGATGACGGGGAACAATGTGATTGTGGATCGATCGATGAATGCAAGGAGTACGATCCTTGCTGCGATCCTATCACCTGCAAACTGACAACGGAGGCTGAATGCGCGACCGGTCCTTGTTGCAGCAATTGCAAGGCAAGAGAGATAAGATCCGTTTACCCTTTAGCGAGCAACCTGTGGAAGTAATATGGCATAAGTGATAAACGCACATGATGTGCTTAATATTGAGATATATTGTTTCAACTTGTCCCCAAAGAAATATTTCAAACATCCAATACAATCTAAAAAACATTAAATTGTGTGAAATTCTTCTAAAAAATTGTGTAAAATCTTAAAAAATATATAATAATATAGCGAATACAGATTCGTGAAGAGACAGATAATTTCATTAATCTTTACGTCATATATATCTGTTATTTTTTGCATTCGTTGTCATTTTGATTCTAATTTTTCAAATTATAGCTCCATGCCCGCGGTGTCATCTGCCGCGATTCAATGAACGAATGCGATTTGCCGGAAATGTGCTCCGGCGATACCGGCCAGTGTCCGCCGGATGTTTACAAGAAAAATGGTAGCCCGTGTTCGAACAATGCCGGAAGTTGCTTCAACGGCGTGTGTCCGGCTCTAGATTTGCAATGCGAGCAAGTCTGGGGTTACGGCGGGATCGTCGCCGATCAGCAATGTTTTGAGCAATTCAATTCTAAGGGATCCATCAACGGTCACTGTGGCACCGACGCCAGCGGCCATCTTATCAAGTGTGAGGCGGAGTGAGTAATCGTTTTTATTGCATATATTGATAAGAGAGATATAAGATAAAATATATAAAAATATCACACATAAATTAAATGGAAAAAAATTAGAGAGAAATTTATATTAACATAAATTCCTATTTTTCTAAATTTATATAGTAATTAAATATTATAAAAATCTGATTTATTTCAATCTCATTTATTTCAGTTTAGATATAATATTGATTTATAATATTGATGTATCGAAAATGTTTTCCTATAGAAATGTTCGTTGCGGATCTCTTCAATGTCAGCAAGGAAGCAAGCAACCAGTAATCGAAGAAATGAAGGATTATTATTCTAGAACTATAATTTCCATCAAAAGCCAGGAATATGAATGCAAGTAAGTATTTGACAATCAAGTCAAATTATTACTAATATGTAATCAAGTGTCAATATTAATATTTCATCAAATCAAGTATTAATATAAAATATTTAATCAATCGTTTGATATAATTTGCGACTTTATTAAATCAATTATTCCGATTTTTAAGAGCTACGACTGGAAGAGTGGAAGGATCTGATATACCAGGAATGGGATTGGTCCGAGACGGTACATCTTGCGGTGATAATTTGGTAATTATTAGTTAAATAATATTATCCAAATTGCGCATTTAAGTGAAAATTAAATATATATGTATATATATATATATATATATATATATATATATATATATACACGGAGCTTTACATTATAATGTTTCTTTAAATAATTTTTGAAATTGATTTTAATATTATATATCATGTTACATGAATTAATTATATATTATTTGTTAATTATATATTCTAGATTTGCGTGAATCAAACTTGCACGAGCTTATTTCCGCATATCGATCAAGAGAAATGTCCTAGTAATCACGATAACAACGAATGTTCGGGAAATGGCGTAAGTATATTTCATAATGAATAATTTAGAGCAATTTATTCGTATAAACGATAGTGGCAAATAGTAATTCTAATATAAAAAGATTAAAACCAGAGAATACATATGTTGATTTGAATTATATATTTGAAAGAGTCGATTTTTTTGAAAGAATCGATTTTTAAACAATGTCCTTATATCCGATTAAAACTATACAATAATGTCTAAAATCTTTTTATTTCAATTCTCCCTTTTTTTATTTTATGATTATATATGAGATTAAAGTTTTAAAATGGCATATTAGTTATCCAATTATATTAGTTTATATTAAATATATATAATATAATAATATAAATATATAATAAATATATAATAAATATATAATAATATATAATAATAATAAAAATATATAATAAATATATAATAATATAATATTATATTAGTTTATATTAAATATTAAATATATATGTTGTTAAAAATTGCTCTTTTGTTACAGGTATGTACAAACGTCAACAAGTGTTATTGCTATCCCGGTTGGAGCGGACCGGACTGTTCCTTACCGCAATCTATTCCAACAGTATTGCCGACGGCAACAGCCGAGCCCGAAGTAGTTCAAACAAAATCTGATTCTAAACTGGAGAAGAAAGAGACCCCCTACGGTAAGCTATTTGGTTTTTTATTTTTTCATAATTGTCAATTGTATATATATTTTTATACATGTATATATAGAGGATAAAAGCGGGAAATTGATGCGCTATCATCCATTTTTTATATGTTATATAATATGTTGCAGAATTTTTTTATATGTTATATATATATATAATTAACTCTCTAGAGAACAGGCATATAAATTAACACACAGGACTTTTATGTAACTTTCTATTATGCAAGTTAAGCGTGAATCTGTTTTTACTATATGCGTGCTTTCTGGAGACTTAATTGCCTGCAAGGGGCAAATAATCGAATAACAGTCTTAACACATTTGTTACTGTTATATGATTATTTATCATTCTTATATTATCGATGACTCACTTTAAAAAGACAGCAAATTAAGGAATATGTAATTTTAAATAATTCATAGAAATTTAAAGTAATTCATAGATTATATTAAAAAAATTTTTTAGATATTATAATAATTTTTTAGATATTATCATAATTTTTTAAATATTATTAAAAAAATATGCAATTAATCCTTTAAGTATAAAGATGCGAATGAAAGTTAAATTTGGGATGTGCTGTTGATGTTTGAATTGAGTTCTCGATATATTACATAAAGTATGTTATTTAAAAATTATTATATATAATATTATGATACGAGAAAAAATGAATAAGAGTGAATAACAGCTCCAATATTTCGCATTAATTTTATATCGTAGAATTTAAGCGTAAAAATATATAATACTTATAATTATATTACAATCATAATACTTGTTTTCATATTTTGCCATTATTAATTATCGAGTTATTTAATCATTATTAATTATCATGTGAAAGTACAGAAGACTTCCATTGAACCGTTATCACTCACAATTATGCGAAATGTGATGCATCCGTTCAGAAAATTGCAATTATTACAAAATTTTAATTACTTTTTGGTTTCTCCGGAATTTTTTAATCTATCGTAATTCTTATAAGAGTTATATTTAAGTTTTTGTTTAAAAAGATTACATTTATTATAATAATCGTTACATAAATAAAATTTATATAGAAATTGTGAGTTCCAAATAAGTATTATACATATTTAATTTCAAGATTAATCTCAAGAGGAGTAAACTAAATAAAATCTATTTGAAAATAGAATCTCAGGAAAGAGAGTAGATCGATAGATAGGTAGCTACTTTTCTAAATCGATTCCACATTCGATTAGCGATAAGCCTTGTCTCATCGTCGAAAAACGATTTGAATCGGAAATAATGTCCGATGTTTCAATAAAAAGGAAGTCTACTGTACCTTCAATTCTAGCAATATGGATCCAGTCGATCGTCCTAATCGACTTTTAACCTCGCGATAAGACAGAGTTAGGATTTTTTAGGGTCATACTATCAGCTGTGCACATAAAATTAGATGCGTATTCATGATGTGAACTCATATATCGTGCGAAAGTGGAATAGAAGGATCCTTTGTGTCCTATTATATATCCTTTTAGTATTTTCTCCTTCCGGATGCGACATCCCCGCTTTTATCCCTCAAGCAATACTTTTAGGCCGTTTTATTGTTTATAGAAAAAAGATCGCAAATTATATTTAAAACTTTGGACTTTTAGATCCTTGAGTTTGCTAAATTCCTAAAATCATATATTTTCCATTTTATATTTCTTAAATTCACTGTACCTTCCGACTCACTGTACCTTCCTTTTCATATTAAGTAGCATATCTTACAATTACTATAGCGATATATTAAAATGATGCGTATTGTAAAAATCGCTCGCTATTGTAGAACTTTCTAACGGCGTGTCTTTAAAATTATTGACGAAAGGAAGATTCAGAATCTTTGAAGTTACAAAGTTTTACGATGAAAGAGACGATATCTTTATATTATATTAGGATGCAATCACACTACGGAATACACACACACTCACGTACACACCGAATAAGACACACACGTGTACACCGCATGCGCGGGATACAAAATGCTTGATCATTTCAGGAGCCACCAACAACAATCTCTCTACAGGATTGATGGTAGTGATCCTAGTGGGTGTCGTGACTGGCGTCTTCCTTTGTTTTGCACTAATGGCTGTTTGCTACAGGTACAGTAACAGTGGGAACAGATCGCCCGCGATCAAGGCCTGTCGTCTTCGTCGTCGTAATTCGTGGCTAGCTGGATGATGATGATAATGATGATAATGATGATGATGATGATACGGAGGCATCGCACGCGGCCATAAATGCTCTATCATGATATCGATCACTCTTAGCCTATTCTACTCGGTGTTTACTCTTACTCACATATTCATACAAACGCGAGAGTTGCAGAAACAAAAATTGCTGTGTTCAGCTCATACAACGATAAAATTATTTATATGTTGATGTCTCTTATTTATCTTTCGTTTTTCTTTGGCTCCGTTTGATATTGATTAAGGTGCAAGAACCGTCAATACAAATAATCTTTTGAAACTTTCTTCGATCCTATTATAGTGTTTTGCAATTTAGATTGCTTGCGTCCTTAGCTTTCTCGATACTTCAGCTTTCAATTTATTTAGATTAGTTATCTCGCATCCTAGATTCCTCGCTAAAAAGTTCCTCAGAAAAGTATAATTGTCCTAGAATGCTATGAATTCGAGATTGTTTAATTCGTATATATAACTCTATGCTTCATGAATCTTAAGTTACTTGTATGTTATTTTAGACAACATATAGTTAATTTTCCTAAAATCCTTAAATCCCTATATTAAATTATTTATTGTCAGTATTTGAGTGTTTATTAAAAAATAATTATAAATTAATAAGAGTTAAAAGCAGTTATTAATTATTAACAATTCAAATATTTATACTTAATGTTTTTTATCTTTCTCTCTTTTTCTCAGCTGTATTTAATAATATTTTTCATGAAAATAGAATGCAGCTAATTTTGTGTCTGTACCGCTCGTATACATGACAAAATATATGTACATCTTTTTTTATATATTATATATTATATATTAATAATATATTGTCACTATGTGGTGTGCTATGGATGTGCTCATGGCATAGTGATTTATGATCGTGACTATGTTGTTTCGAACGAAGACTTCGATATTAGTTGATTATCGCGTTTCGAGGGATAACAGTGAAAAAAAACGCTGTGAATTAAAAAAATAAGAGTAGAATCGGTTAAATGAGTAGAAAGAATATAATATAAATATAAATTTGGAAATGTCATATCTCTTTAAATTCGTTATATTTCGTGTGACATTTCTTTTAAATAATTATATATCAAGAGAAGAGATGTCAGATAATTATAAATATAATTTGTCAAATATTAAAAAAGTTTACATTATACATAATTTTTGACAGTCCCTCAAAAGGCGACGTCAAAAAAACTATACAATGTGCCAGCTGCTTGTATGCCCTATGAAAGCATGAAAGAAGCTGATTAGCGAACAACCTATTGGACATCGTCATTTACTAATAATTGTGTGCAATTTGGAGGACGCTTGCAAGTTAGAACGATCGATTTTTTTCGAGTCAACGAAATAGGTTCTTTGCGAAAAATCGATATTTCGATGAATTAAGTAATTAGATTAACCCTTTCTACAATTGTTCGCTCAAGATATATTTTATCCTCTATATCATTTAATCTATTTATAGTTAAGCATTATTATATAACTGGTAAAAGAATATTTAAAACTGAAAGGGTTCAAGAAAAAGGAGCTGTCTTTTCCTAGAAAGAATACAAGGGCAGGATTATGATACGTGATCTTTGGGTTCTCTCAAATCTACGAATCTACATGTCATTGAATCTTTGGATACCGAGATCTATAGATTTTAATGTTTTTCCTTAATATTGAATTCCTTGATTTCTAGAGTTCTAAGAGTTTGGAAATCTTATCAATCTTTGAATTATTCATAATATTCTTAAGATTAAGATTTTAAGTCTTTGAATACTAAAATAGATTCTCAGATCTGAGAATCAAGAAATTCTAAAAATTTGTCAAGCATAACCATGTCTTAATTATGAAACTTGATAACTACAAATTTGCAGATTTTTATTTTTATTGCTGACAATCAAATTTCAATGCTAAAAATGTAACGCTGAATCTGCATTTTTTGAGTTATGAAGTTTGGTTATTAGAATCATATATAGAGTGTTCATTTTAAAACTGAAAAAAAAAAAAAAAAAAAAAATATATATATATATATATATATATATATATATATTCTGCTTTTATATTAATTATAAAAATTTGACAAAATATAATACAATATATTACTAGAGTAGACTGCAATAAGTTTGTATTCGTATATCGCGTTTTTAAACATTTTAATAATAATGATAACATAAATAAAACTTTGATGGCATTATTTTAAAAATGAATACTCTGTGTTAGATTTCAAACATTTACGTATATACAATAATATACATATATATGTATGTCTTTTTTCACGTGCTGATATTGGCTTCTCTGTTTCTTATCTGTTTCTGTCTGCCATCTCTGTCTGTCTGCATGCTGTGGGACGCTCGGATACGAAAATACCGAATCGAACCACCCTCCTGCACTGCGTAAACTGCAATGGTGTAAATCCTCGTTTCGCAAAACAAAAAATAAATGAACGAACAATAATCCACTCATATATGACGGTGTAATCGATGGCTCGTCACATCCGCTAATAACAATGATGATGTTGACGATGATGATAATGATGGTGATGCTGGTGATGTATGCTATAATAATGATGACGATATGACGACGAATTACATACATACAATACGCATACAGAGAACTACCACGGCTCTAACACTGTATTTTTAGTTGGTATGCTCATGTCGGTGGTAGGGGGTGTTTTCGTAGTATTTGCTCTGATGGCTCTCTGCTACAGGTCAGTCGTAGTACATAAAAACTTCTCCCTCTGTCTCAGGTTAGTGTGCAGAAACATACACAAGTAGAATTTTTCTCTCTGTGTTCTTTCTTTCTATGTTTCTGTCATTTTTGTCGTTTTTCCTTCTTTCTGTCTCTCTTTTCTTCTCTCCCTTTCTGTACGTATAATGCGGGGTGGAAAGAGTGTGTTAAGAGTGGCATGCTGCTCTTCGGGAAATTTGCATATCGCTTCTTTTCTTCAGCCAGCATTCTGTCGCATTTTGTTGCTTCATAGGCTAGTGTCCATAATAATGCGCAGTGACATATGTTTTGGTATATGTAGGTTTAATTTTATTATTACATCTTTATCTAATTTGATTATATAATTCGTTCTCATGATAAACACCTATTTATAACAATATACTTCTGATAAAATTGAATATAGTTTCTAATTAATAACATTTATTACAATTGTTTAATATAGATATTAATATAATTAGATCTATTAAATTCTTTTTAGAACCTCTTGAACTATAGGTTTTAGTAGCGCTCATATATTTTATGAATTTTGCAGAAAGAAGTTGATTTTGTTTTAAAAAATATTTATTTTTTAATTATTAATTAAAAGATTATTGCAAATAGAAGTTTCAAATATAGAAGAATGTAAGAAATATGATTTTAAATTCCTCGAAGAGAATGATGCTTCGCTCCTAGCATAAGCTTTTCTTTTTATGCATGTAGATATGTACTTATATGCATATATACATGCATATATTCATGCATATATCCATTAAATTTTTAATATTTATGTCTCTTTTCTACATTTCTTCACTTTGAGTTTCTCTTGTCTATCATGATTCTTTACCATAATTTTTATTTCTTTTGCTAATGGTGAAAGGAGTTTCATATTAAAATATTATAACGTTTGCCCTTAAGAATACAATAATTGATGAGTGATTTGTCTCAAATTATCCATGTTATCAGGAATATTTACATAGTGTATTTCTCGATTAATATTACGCACATTTCAAAATTTATTATTTTACGAAAAAATTTGAAATTGAAAATTTTAATTGTTTATTACTCGGAAATGAATATTACCCACTTATGAGTCATTATTCCTTTTAAGCTTGACTTATCTCTTATCTATTTAACCTTAAACAGTATATGTATAATATATTTCTATATATATATATATATATATATATATATATATATATATATTAAAAATGTTATATATATTTTGAAATGTAATAATCTTAATTTTTTTAATAATAATTTCAAAATTTATATCTTTTTTATATTTGTACATTTTTTTGTTTATATCTTCTATATCAAAACGATAAAATAAATTAATCACTTGGTAAATATTTTTTTAATGTTAATTTTTTAAATGTTTTTTCTCACATTGTTAAATTTAATGCTGTTTAGGGTTAAACTGCTTTGTTTTTTGCTGATTGGTTAATGGGTACTGCAGTGGAAGGTGACCCCTGTAAGGGCAGCTGCGGATGTACCAATTGACTGGTTATCTATTTTGCTTCAGCTATTAACTTTTGCATGCCAAAAGAATTCGTTGACTTTGTAGCAAGAATGTAAATTGACAACGTTGATTGAAACGCGAATTTTTGTGATGTAACTTTGTATTATCCGTAATATTTTTGATCACAGAATTATGTACATAGACTCGGATGAGCCTCCTCCACCAGCTTAAGAGGGATTATCAATTTCAAGTTTGCATCGATGGATTCGTTTGTCAGAATAAATCAATACAAGGATAATCATTGCAAAGTATTGAACTTTGTTGAATATTGATAATTATGAATAATAATTATATGTGTTATGTAATATTATATGTATAATTATATTTGCAATAATTATATTTAAAAAAATGTTGCATATTAATCAATGTCAATTAAGATTTGATCAATACATTGATTAACATTAGAAATATTTATTTCTATATTGGATCTGTGTAAAGAATTATATATAATTAAAAAGGCTCAGAATTTTTAGATTTGTATTACATAGACGTTTATAGTATCTAAATTTTCTTTACATTCATCGGCGCTTTAAATTATATCTATAAATTCTTTGATTGGTATGTTATATAGTAACGTTTATATCTTTCACAAATCCAGTTAATTCAGGTAATTTTTTGATCCATTAATACAACTAACAAAAAACTCAAGTTTTTTTTAACTAATTAATTGTACATTGGCAAATATGTTCGTAATCAATAACAAGATTAATCACAATTCTCACAATTGATAATCTCTCTTAACATCATTAAAACCATTGAATAATTTTCTGATATTCAAACGAACCTGCCGCTAGTCTGCATGTGCTTTGCCATTTTTCCCGTAATATAAGCTATGCGTAATGGGCGAATTTCTCGCAGAAGGAAGAGCACCGTCCAGAAATATGACCCGCCATACTCGAAAAAGCCGCAGCAGAAGAGCTATAGCGGAGTTTCCGGTAATCATCATGCGGAAGCTGCGGCGTTGGACACGGTCAATAAAATCCTCACTTTCGGCAGAATGCCTCATTACAGGTACGACTGTATGTACTGATTCATTTCGTTGTTTATTTTGCTAGTCACTGATTATTTTGGATTACAGAATATTCTAATATATTCGAAGAACTTGTCAAAAAATTATCCAATTTTATAAGAAATAGGTGAAGTATATATAGAACATCAAAATTGTATTTGTTAAATGGAATTAATATGTATTTATATGTATTTAAAGTAAAGAATAGATTTTAAAAATTATGTCATTTATAGTCAAATACATATACATTAGTTAATGTTCATAAATTATAAAAAATTCCCTAAATTTTTAATGTATTTACGAATATATTGGCTAGTTTGATTTTCTGATTCCAGTAAATTCAATTGATTAAATTGATTTCACTAAATGTAATTTATACTTTAGCAAAAAATGTACATATTAAATCTTGTGTACTTGAAAAAATTTAAAAATCTTATCAATAACAATAAATATTTTTAATTTTATTATTTTACTTAAAACTTTCTTTCTTTCTCATTTCACATGATTGAAATATTTTGATGCTAATTAAATGCATTGCGTTGATTTAGGTAACATATATTGATATAGTCGGGCATACCTCGGGAGACTAGAAATCTTAAACAAATTGTGAATGGAATAATTTAATAATGATTGTAATATAATCCTATTTAACTTGCAACTTGATGTTGGTTTTCTTACTAAAGGTTTCAAAGTAAAAATTTTCACAATAATGAAATTACAAATTACATTAACAGAATATACACATTAATATATAAATATGACGTACACATTGTAATAAGAGCATCTCATTACATCTTACATCCCATTTTATTTTTCATCATATTTCTCATCATTTCTCTCAATCGGCAAATCTTAACATGCATGTTAAACATATTTTTTTATTAAACCATCGCGATGTCCCAGAATATATCCTACAGATATTAATAAGTAATATGCATTTATTGATGTATAATGTAGGATTGATTGCAGCTCGAAATGCTTCTGTCGTTCGATCGTTTTCGAGAAATATCGTCATTATGTAACGATGAACGCAGTTCGCATCTTCCTAATATAGATAGCTACAGAAAGAGCCAAAGGTGATCAATTATTACTACATTTAAGAAAACTTTTATAATATTTTATTCCTTTTTTTTCTTCTCTTTTTTAATCATTCTTTTTATAAATTGATTTTTGATTGTACTTTTGGCTCATTCTGTATAATAATGAGCTTATTAATAAAAATGCATAAGCAGCTTTATATAAAAAATGAGTTGAAGTTTGCTTGAATCAATGTGACTTTGTGAGGAGTTCAATACCTTTTTATTTCAGGTAAATCTTGACTCCTCAACTTTACATAAGCTTTTAGTATGCGCTTCGTAATGATCTTCCTATTATGATACTGATAATTGCGTTAAATTTTTTAATATAAAATACTGAATTTTTGAAGGATTACAAAATAATATGCACATATAATGAATTATTATATAGTAATGCAAAATTATTATATTTTAATAAGATATGTATCTTTTTTCCATAAAACTTTATTCTGATTCATAAATATCTTGATAATAATCTTCATTATAATACTAAATTATAACATTTTATATAAATTGTTCACTTTAAAGTTTTTAAACTAAAATAATAAAGATTTTGTTCTGTAAAATAGTTTAAATATTATTAAAAAAAATAATTTATTTATTAATCCTATCTATCGGTAATAAAATCGAAGCGCGCGAACGACAGAAAATTACGAGACTAGCTCGGTCAATTTTTTTATTCCGCAAGTAAGGAAGTGGAAGATGGCATTACACACAAAATTTTATTAACCCTCAATTATAAAGAGTGCAGCGCTAATCTCAGTGTAAATAATTTAAACATAAAAAATATTAATCGTATATAAAAAAATATTAATTGCAATCTCTAATAATTTTACTTATTTCGGCTAGATATCTGTTACAATTGTCTCCAAATATCTTTCTAAATAATTAAAGTTTTCAAATAAGATATTTTGATTATTAAATAATAATCTATGATAATTTTTCAATGTAAGTTTATAGATTAATGTTACAGACAGAAATAATTCAAGTAAAATAGTTCACGTATAATGTATTAAAGTTTTCATTATATTATAATTTCACACGCGTGGAGACTAACAATCTAATAAATATCACAACAGATATCACTATCCAACAAATAATGAAGTAATTAAATTGATTATAATATAAATAAAGAATATTGTTATTATTGAGATTATGAAAATAGATGTATGATATATTTCTTATCGGAATTAGAATGACAAGCAGATTAAATGAACGGTGCACATGGTAGTTGAGGGTTAATAAGAATAGCCGCGGCATGCCTATATTAGTATATTTCTAGCCGCGGCGAGACCCAGCGCGTGCTGTTTCGACCCCCGAATAACGTCGCCACCGCCGACGGGCCAAGAGTCAAGTAAGTCTCATGTGTCTCGTCGTCATGTCTCACTATCAATCAGTTGGTCCAATCAAGGAGTCATTTTTTAAATCAATTTTGATTTTCTTTCAAAAGATTTTTCTACAAAATTTTTTCGAAGACTTGAAACTTTAATTTGGTAAATATTTCTCGATTGACGTATAATTGTCATTATAATAATCATCGACAATCATTTCTATTTTATTAGCTATTAAAAATCAATAAATCATCGTTAATTAAAATTTGAAAAAAGCTAAATGAAATAATATCCATTTAAAATTGCACATCTGTATATAACTTTAACTTTTATTCCTTATTTGGGCCATAGCATTGCTCCGATTCGATAGATTATCGATCAGTAGTCTATCTGCGTTTAATGATATCGAAAATAGTGTTTGTCACGTTGCTGTTACTATAATTACAGTTTCGCAATTTCTACCGATGTACAGAGTCAAGTCTTCTCTGCATCCAATTAATCTGCATTAAAATAAATAATCCGACCTGGAGTCCTCTTTAATTTCTCTTCTCGTATTTCGCACGAAATCATTTTCTGCACAATCGCAATTTCAATAATTCAGTTAACTTTGCAACACACGCTGCGGTCGAACCAAATATAAATAATTTGATCCTCGCACGCTTATTGCTATCTATTGCATCGATATTATTTTATCCCGCTAGAATTTTTTCTTTATTGCATGAAAATAAATGCACTTATATACGGGATATCCCGTATATAAGTGCAAGTATTTTGTCATCAAGATATCCTTTTCCTTTGCAAGATAACATCAGTGTATCTCGTGTACAGAGGCTAATTAGCATATGATTTTTAATTATGCTATTAAACGTGAACGATACTGTACACGAAATTCACCAAAAATTAATTTCTCACTTGGCATTTCATCGCAAGAGCATTAAATATCATTAAATATTATCACCGTTCATTTTTACAATCAGACTGATGCAAGTAGGCAATGAGAAAAAAATTGCAATAATAATTGCGATTTATTGACAATTTATTTTAAAAATAAATTTCAGCACACATTGCAAGTGCTCTCCATCATTCTATAATTTATTATAGTTTTTTAATTCTTTATTTTAAAACAATATACTTGAATAAAAACATTATAATTATCGATAACTAAGTCAAAATTCTGTTTCTTTTTGTTCAAAGAGAAGATTGTTATCTACAATTAAACGATTTATTTTTTATAAATTATTGTCAGATTTGGATGGTCTAATAAAAAAGGTGTCTAATGAAAAAGTAAAGAAAAATCAAACAGACATAATTGTATTTAAAAAACCTATATTAGAATAATCCTAATAATAATATTAGTTTCAAAAATTTACAGACGTATTGTCTTGACTTATATTTTTGTGTTGGATTTATATTTATGAGATAAATATGAGATAAATATAGAAAAAATTATGTAATATGATACATAAGGTTATAAATATAAGAATTATAATATTATGAGATGGAAACATAAGAAAATAAAATTTAAAAATTTTGTTTTTATGATACACTTTTAAAAAATTGATTTGTTACTGCACATTTCTTTTCGAAAATACAGAAAATAAAGTATAAAATATTAAGAAAATAATGTTAAAATATCTCGATATACGTCTGATCGATCTTTCAGGGAGCATAAACCGCAGCCGAAGAGACACGTGGAGGAGGAAGATGGAGGTACGGGAGCAGAGGAGGTTGTCTCTTTCATTGATCTTCCACCGAACAATCTCACAAAGTTGCCTGAGAAGGGAATTTTAAAGAAACACGGTGGTTACGGTATTGTAATACCTGATAGTTGTAACACAACAAGCGGGCGTAATGACTCATGATATCTCGTGAAGAGTAGCTAAAAGAAGTTCGAACTTTGACGAATTGAAAGATCAAATAGTTAACTTATAGTTTAAGTTATATTATACGAATAATTATCAACTTTGCATAATCGATGTAAAAAGACTTTAATAGAATATTCTTCTTCAGTGCTTATTGAGCATTTTAAATAATTATCAATATTAAATATTTTGATTCCATTTTTGAAAATATTAGTGATAATTTTAACAAATTATTTGTTTAAAAAATTATTCTATCAATTATCGAATTATAATTATTTATTTTTTGACACATATAGATTAAATCAAATGAAAATATTTAGTTCTTAGCTATCTTTCCTGATCGAAAAAATATTTTTAGATTATAAAACTAAGTAAATATATTTCCTACTTTGTACTATTACATGTAGATATGATAAATTTGCATTTTTATTTTAGAATCAAAGGAATTAAATATATCTAAAAAAATTATCAGTTGCGTACGCTACATGTATTGTATCTTTCGATTCCTTGCAAAATTGAACTTCTTGCATCGATCCTTCACGAACGTTAACCTTTTATAAATCAATAATATTCATATATTTCATTTTCATCATCTAACTCATCATAAGAAATAAATTCAACATATACAACTTTAAATACTATAATATTATTAAAAATTTACTGTAGGATTTAATATTATCCCAAGATATAAAGGGTTAATACAGGACTATTTTTAAAAAATCTTCTAAAGAATTTTATAATCCCTTAACTCTCTCATGCGCTGATTAATCCTAGATCGTAAATTTACATTTTATTACATGTAAATAAAATATATCAGATTATACAGATAATTTTTACATATCCCGAAAATTAACAAGATATTAATCTGCAAATATACATAAAAGAAATCTCTAAAGAAAAAATGGATTGCGCACGAAAGAGTTAAAACAAATTGCATCATGAGAATCCTCTTTTATGGAGCGGTAACTCTACGTCATGTGTTTGCCAGGACTAGGTGGAGGCGCAATTGAGCATGTAGAGAGGACCTTGAATCAGCTGAATGGCTATCATGAGGACATACTCGAGGTGTTGAAAAACGCGGCGAGTCGTCGCGATCTCGCGGGTACCCCGTCGGGCAGCAGTAATCTTTTGGATGAGGACGCGCTACGCAAATCGTTGGCCGAATGCGGTTATCCCGATGTTTACCGCAAGGACACCGATGGTCAGGACAACGGCATCGATAATGGACAAGAGGAGGACGATGACGACGTGGAGTTGCAACCGCCATGCGGCACTATTCGTATACGCACTCTCGAGGATCTCATTCGTCAGCTCGAGCATCGTGCAACGAGGTAAGATTTTTACGTGCAGCAGTAATTCCTTGATGTTGCTTTAGATTGTCAAATGCTTTGACTCATAGCTCTTTAAATACGTGCTATTCGAATATCGATTTCGATGCCTCAGATCATACAATTTTTAAGAATTTGAAATTTTCAGTTCTTTAATCTTAACATATTGCATTTTTTCAACATATTTCGCTAATTACTCGATTTTTATAAAATATAATAATTATTTAAAATTGTTTTAAAATTCAAATGATATTAATGACTAAATTTGTCATCAGACCTTATTTGACTGGTCAAATGAGTCCGAGTGGATCCGAAGAGATTCGAATATCCGAGGGCGAACCGGATCGACACTACAGAATCGATTCTTCTGTCTGTAGCGAGTCATCTCAAGGGTAAGAACTTGCGAGATAAAATACGCGCTTATATCAGACAAGCTTTTAAACTTAAAGAGCCTGAATTTAAAAAAAATGCAGATTCTAATTTCCAATTATTCGGAAATGTTTATTACAATACACAAGAAATTTTCTTAGATGTTTTAGTAATGATTTGTAAAATAGATATTCGTTTCAATTCAATTTTCAACAATATGTACTTATCGAAACAACTGACTAAATACAACTGAGCTTTTTCATACTTTGTTAATCACGATTATTGTCAGCAGACATTTCACACGCTGCTATAACTCTCACTGTGAATTGCTTACTATCTTCTCTTTCGCTAATTTATATTATCTTAACCCTCTCATACATTGATTAATTGCAAATTGTCGCAAAAGATATTTTATAAATATATTTTTGTAAATATTTTATAAATATTTCTAAATTACATTTTTATAAATTTATTCGATTTAATTTCTCTCTTTAAATTAATATATATATATATATATATATATATATATATATATATAATTTGAGATATAATTTTTTATATTTAATAATATATTCTATATGTATAAATTACATGTATAAATCTTTGCTCATTTCTTTTATTATTGTATATTTTTATCATTTTGCAGAAATCAAGTTAAACTTTTCTTAGAAAATTTGGCGTTACATAATTCTAACATATTTCAAATGTGCGTAAAAGTAAAAAATAAAAATAAAGAAGTATACAAATTAATGCACTTTTTGTTAAAATAATGAAAATATTTCAATAATTATAATAAAATGAGAGGGTTAATTTATTATCTTATTCTGCTTTCTATCTTACGCATCAAAAGGCTGTCAAACTCGACGCATTTATTTATGTATATCAGACACTATATTCAATGTTTTGCGAAACTATAGATTACAAAACACGCGCAAGGATAACGGAAAAGAATACACATTTAATATAGCATATACAATAAATATTTACATAGAGAAAATTTATTCAAGATAAAATGCGGAGTCTGTTTATACTAAATAATCGCAACGAGCTTGATTATAATAAATTAATTGTAATACAATTAAAATATTAAGCGCCGAGTAGCAGTGAAATTATATAAATTCTTCAACGTCAAAATTGACTTACCGATACTACAGGTGTGAATGTCAAGTAAAATTGATTTACCGATACCATAGGTGTGAATGTCGCTGTTGCTGCCTAGAGAACATAAAGAGAATAATTGTTATATCATAAATTATACAAGCATATAGACGAATTAATTATACAAGAAATGGAGCAAACAAATAAATAGATAAGCGCCCTAAGTATTTTTTATATAATTATCGAATATTAATATCTTTCTCTATTTCTAAATTAATTTATCGAATATCAAGAACAAAAACTATAAATAGCAGATAAAAGTCTTAGATAGAACGCGAATACAAGTCGCGTAGATCTATGTAGGAATTGATTAGATTTCCTACGTAGAAGCAGAAGATGTAGCCGCGGCCGCGACGAGGACGCTAGTAGATTCGTCTACGGTAGATATCGTCAGCCGACGTCCCGAAGTCCTTACGGAAATCATCAACACACCCATCAACACTCCCATCAAATGCACCCTGAGGACGAGGGTATCTATGAAACTGCCGATCCTGACAGAGGCTCAAATACTAGGGGTGAAACACCCGATTGTGAAAGGTATCGCAAGATTCTTGCATCACGAAAAATCCTACGGCTTCACTAGTAGCGATTATTCACTGATATTATTTCTCGATTTACGTCTACACTCCCACTATTACGAATCCTACGATAATCGCGCATACCTCAGATAAGGATGGTGCATGTATTGTTGTTTGTAAAAAAAAAAGAATGAAAAATATTGACAAATTGACAACGAAATAATTGTAAACAATATAAAAATTATGGCGCAATTTGAAAAAAGCAAGATTTTACATACTTTAGACAAAACTATATTTTTAATCTCATTACATGTATAATTGTTAATTGTATACGTCGTTAATATTCAATTAAAAAATTATTATAAGAAATTATTATTATTAGCTAGAAAGGATTTGAAGTTTACGTAAAGTATAAATGGACTCAGCATACAATTTAATTTGTAATTCCGCAATTGCATATATTATCAAATGAAAATTCACAATGAGATGTAAAAATGTTCATCAACAATAATGTTTAAAAAATATTGAAAAAGAAATATATTGAGAAGCAAAATATACATGGAAGTCTGCACGCTTTTTCGTTCGCTTTTGCATTGTATGAATGTTACTCTAAACAATCAAACAATAACAACACACATATCCGGCCAGTGAGCTCGATCAAGTATGTCCCAAATCTACTTCACAAATATTCTTTCAAATAGCGTTGATCAAAACATTGTTAATTTATATTTTCCAAATGACTAAATTTTGTGTTTCTTTCCAGTTTCACTTAATGAAAGTTAGCATCTAAACAGATCTGGGACACTTGATAAACTCCACAATTATGGTCAAATCTCGCGCATGCTGCTTCTAGTTTTTTTTTATTGTAAAATTAAAATGCGGAACGAATTTTTTAATTTTTCAAGCGATTGTAAGAGACATCTACTTCTAATTCATCTTTTAATCAAATAATTTACATTGTAACCAATATGCGCACTTATCCTTATCTGAAGTTTTTCTTCGTGTTTGTTCGAAGATAATGTTTATAAGGAATGTTAAATTTTAAATAGAATAATAATCGTAGTGGTAAATCATAAGGCTTCGCACGCGCGCTTTGAATGTCTTAATTAACTTTTTACTTCTTGTGCATACATGATGTTTTCTCAGGATTTGAGATTAATTTTTTAATTTAATTTAGAGCTCATTAAAATAAGATAATATGGATTATATGGAAAACTTTATGAAATAAATATAAAAACGTCTTTTTTTAGATAAAAATAATAATAAGTCTAATTGTTAAATTATGAATATAATTTATTCAACTAACTATTATTAACTTAACTATTATTTTTTAAAAAGCTGTTAATTAATTGAAATTAAAAATATTATTAAAAATTGACCAATGCTCGTGTCAGTTTAATATATATATATATATATATATATATATATATATATATATATATATATATATAAGACATACTTTTTATTTTTTCTTTATAAATTTTTTATTCTTTTTATATATCATTTATCCCATCAAATAACAGCTTGGAAAATCACGTATGCACCGAAGCTTTCGCTTCTTAGGTCAACTTGGTCCCGATTGGCTCCGTTTTACTGAATGTTGTTATGTCTCGCGTTCGAATGCAGCATTAGTGGCGGTGGACTAGATCCAATGGGCTCGTGTAATCTTATTATTTTCTAGTGATGCATTTATTCAAGCTCAACAACAAGTAGCCCGGTGGACTAGTGAGGATGGTGGAGGAGGAGTGCAGCACCGGCCGCCGCAGCAACCACCCCCGCCACCTGCGATGCCGTTGCCGGTGCAGCAACAACAGCAGCAGCAACAGCAACACCAACTGCCGGTGGAACAACTGCCAATAAAGCAGCGCGGCTATTATCCATCCCCCCCACAAACCGAAAACAGCCCCGACGCTGGCAACAACGCCGAGGCCGAATCTGCTCAATCCCAACAGCAAACGCTAAGCGACGTTCGTGGAATCGATGTTAATCATTTGCCTAATATTAACAAACGCCCACTAGACGATAACTTTAGTCTAGATTGTAACATAATGAATAATGGTTCCCCCAAAGAATTAATTACCAACAACTCTAGTGATAACGAAAATACTGCCCTACTGCCCCCCACGCATTTTCCTGAGTACAAGCATTGATAATTAATTAATCGATGACAGATAGTGTCTGAGGAAAAAGGAGAGAAAAGGGAAAAAAGTCGTAATAATAATAATAATAATAATAATAATAATAATAATAATAATGATACTAATAATAATAATAATAATAATAAAACAGTATAGTGGTGTGACAATGATGACGATGATGACGATGATTTAATCTCGAACTCGCATTTTATACTGAATAGTGTAAATAACGATAAACTGTAATTGCGACGATTATAACAACAACAACACACGTATTAAATTATATTAAATTCAAATAATCTATATGAAATGTTTATTAATAAACATTAGTAAAACGATTTACTCAAATTTCATTGTGTCTGTTATTTTATCTTCTTGCAACTTTATCTTCTTCAACATCTCACAGTAATCGTAATTAATAAATCAATTAATTCGTGAATTTATTTAGTCGAATAAAGAAGCTCGAGAAATTAGCGTTATTAAAACATCTAGCGTTGTCAAATTTTATATGAATATATCTTGTTATATATATATACATAATCATATAAATGCGAAAATTTGAGAAGCTTTCAAAAGCTGTTTTACATACCTGTTTGATCCCTCGATACGACAGTATAATCTCAAAGTAAGGATTTTTTCTCGGTCACATTTAACACTTCTCGAATAGCGGCGCAAAATTGAAATTGACAGATACTTTGCAAGCTAACACTCGACATACGCAATATCGCGGCGCGGTTTCTCGATATTTAAGAGTACAAACATCAGACGGATCACTACGATAGACTTTTTTCAATTAATTAGCACTTTTAATTAACACTTTTCCGATATTTACAAAGAAACGCAGAGGCACGTTGACGCAGTTACCGCGCGCGGCAGCCATTTTAAGTCAGCCGATCACGTGATCACTATGTGTTCAGTTTTGCAGCGCTTCGTCGCGTGCGATCGTAAAATAGATTGAACCTAACCCAGATTTAACCTAACATGACCATAAACGACTTGTCAATGATTGAAGAATGCATTGTACGAGTATAAATGATAATGTCTTATCAAAATTCACAATTTTGCACGATGTACGATCGTCAAGACGATTATGATCTCGACGAAGACAACGAGGAATATTTGGAAGAAGACAGGGACGCCGAGGAACAAGATGATAGCGATGAAGGTATCTGTAATAATAAATAATAATATATGAGATCAAAATAAATTCTGTTATTTTATGACATAAACATTTTAAATAATAATGAAATATTTGTGTAAAACTAATAAAGCAAGTGGAAATTTTTTAGATACCGAAGAAGCAAGTGAAACTGATATGGGAGAAAGAAAATCTGAAGAATATACAGAAATTAAAGAACAGTAAGTTTACGAAACGTTTATTTATATTTGCATATCAACAATAAATTTAGTGCTCGAACTATTCAATATTCAATTTTTCAGGATGTATCAAGATAAGTTAGCAAGCTTGAAAAAACAGTTACAGCAATTGAAAGATGGGACACATCCTGAATATAATCGAAAAATAAAACGATTAGAAACACAATACAAAGAACGGTAATTAACTTATCATTGTAATTAAATATTTACAAATATAATAATTATTTGTGGAAAACTTTAATACTCATATTAATTAATTTTTTATTTTTATTAGATTGAGATTGAATATAATCTATCGAGACTATTTGACAGAATGGGTTGAACGAGATTATATATTAGAGAAAAAAGCAGCGGTGAAAGAATTTGAAGAGAAAAAAATTGATCTGAAGGAAAATCTGCTTACCGATATGGAAGAAAAGAGGAAAATAATTGAATCAGACCGTCATACAATGGAACTTACTGGTGATTCAATGGAGGTATTGAAGATTATGCTTACTAAAATAATATATATTTTTCAACATTATCATTTTATTAATTAGGTGAAACCAGTAATGACAAGAAAATTACGCAGACGTCCCAATGATCCAGTACCTGAAAAAGTAGAAAAACGACGAAAACCACCTCCGGCAACATTAAATTATATATTGGAGGATAAAGAGATCGAGCTCGATTTGAAAGCGATTAATCGAGCGAAAACGTCTGCAGCTGTTCGTAAACCAGGTGCACATCTACAGGCTGTTTCAAAATTCATAAATATTCTTTAGTATAAAAGTTCTTGAAAAACTAAGTAATACAAATTTACAGTTTTTAATTTTAAGCATTTTTCAATTGGTGCTTAATCATAACTTGGTTACTACTTTTAAATTCTTATAAAAAATTAATGCTTGGGATAAATCATTCAAAAATTTATTTTACTTAGTTATTTCTACTATAGTTATTTTGTTTCACAAATTTTGAAATACTCTATGTATAAATATAAAAAAACAAATACATATATATGTATGTAAAAACTAAAAATAAGAAATAAATTTTTTTAATAAATAATTATAACTGTTTATATTTACAGTAGTTTTACCACATTACAACGCAGTAAATATATCATCTCAACATATACCACAACCGCCTGAGACTCCATTGGTGGAAACTCGGATAGAGGATGGCAAATTGTCATATGAACGAAGATGGTACTTTTATTTTTAAGCTTAACTATTTTATATTTAAAGCTTAATTTTTTTCAAAAATATAAAAAAATACTTTGTTACAAATTTTTTTATTATCAGGTTTCATCGTGGTCAACCTGTTTATGTTGAAGGCAAGGATCTTAACAGATTCGCAGCACATATTTCGGCAATTGGTACTGAAGCAGTAAGTATTCGAGATAGATTATATAAATCGCATATCATTGCAAGATGTTACTTTTTTCAGATCTGGGTGAAAAAGGTTTCAGACAGCAGCAAAGTACGCATTTACATATCGCAATTGAGTCGTGGGAAGATCTCTATCAAACGACGAGCCTCTTAATCAATGTCTCGATTAACTTGATATCCATTGTTAGATCTCTATATTTCGTTTTTCATTTCTAATTTCTAAAACAGCATTTTTCCGCGTCAAATTAATTATCTTCACAATGCTGGACTTCTGCCACCAATGAAACCATGCTTTTTGATGATATTGTAATGTCATGTAAATCCAGACGAAGAAAGATAAAATCAGTAATGCCATCATTGACAACAGGGAGCAGGTGGTCCATCGCGCGGGTGGGAAATTGTCGTAATTGTTCATAGCATAAAAATCCGCAGCGACTACACAAATGTAGGAACACGCGATGGTTACAGGAATGACTATAAGACATCTGAGTAAATCGGCTTTCACATTGCGAACGTACATTTGATGCTCATCCTGATTCAGGCACAACCAAACTATGATAGAGCGGAGAACTTTGTAACGAGGTGTTCGTTCTATTTGGAATTCATAGCCGCATAATTCGCAACTATTTCTATTGCTCTCTTCTAGCCATCGCTCCAAACATTTCAGATGGATTGCACCCATTGTTCCCTAATTTCAGTTGTCAAATTTGTAATTATGTAATTAAAACTACTTTTTTTTTCAAATATATGTTTTCAATCAATAACGTCAAATAAGTCATTCCATAGATTAATGTGATTTATTATAAAATTAAATAATTTTTGATATTCTAGGTTTTAATTTTTAAATCTCAAAATTTTTGATATTTGAATTATTATTTATAAAATTTTATCAAACCTTGCACTTGCATGGATATATAATAGACAATTCTTGATTAGGATCATAACAAATGCGACAGTTTATATCTTCCATTGAATTGCATGATAATTTGCTCCTTTTATTTGAGGTTACAGAATTTTCCAGCTCTGATTGATTTGTATATAATGATGCTGTCTCTTGTTCTAATTCGATTTCTATTTCTATTTTTGAAATTATGCTATCTAAAATGCTAGTCACCGAACTTTTTGCAGTCATAGTGTGAGAATTCAATCATAGTGAGAATTTCTGCAAATATATTCATAAACAATTGAATAAAACAGAACATAAGATAGATGTATCTTCTTCTTCTTCCTAACTTGTAGATGTTTTTAGAAAAGGGACTTAAAGCGAGGAGCGTCCTTTATTATTGTGTATAAAAATTTGTATTATGTTATAGTGGATACAATTGAGTTAGTCGCGTGAATATCTTAAAGAGCCATGTAACTATGTGCACTTTGTAATAATTAATGAGTAAACTATAAACGAATGTTTGTCACTCTGCCATCATGTCCACACTGAGGCAATCTTCCCCCATATTACTAGGGGATGTCTCAAGTTCTCCAATTTCATTTGATTCGCTATAAATTCTTCATTTTAATAATTTTGTTTTTAATAAAAGATTTAGAAAAAGAAATATTAGTAAGAGAAGGCTCACCTGTCCAAGGAAGGATCGTTACTAAACATTTCCGTTGGAACTGTGGGTGGTGCTTTTTCTGGTACAAGTTCCAGATATGTTTGACGAGATTCCAAATGTCTCTCCACTTCCTCTGGCGTCATGTGTCCATCAGACATTAAAGACATTGGAACTACATTATTTGAAGATTGTACCTGAAGATGAAAGTATATCAGTTATTCTTACAATTTATACATATTTGTTCTTCTAAGTACATTATGCAGAATATGTAAATGCACTTACTATAGGTGTATTGTTTGTTTTTGCAACTTTTGGTGTACTCTTTTTTTTCTTACTGGTACTGAGTGGTTTTGTAATTGTTGATGAATGATGAGAAGTATGATTGTTGATATTCACCTCAACTTTTTTCCTAAAAATTGCATATTATTGTGATTAATAAAGATTTTTTCTATATTATTTTCCCTATTATATCATAAAATTTTATTATTTTATGATACAAGTTTCTATTATGATATAATAATTACAATTAAATAAATTATTAATTGAATAAATTTTTATAATTCCTTATCAATTTAAAATAAAATTTTACAAAATTAAATTGTTATACATATATGTGTATAATTGTTACAATATATACATATATGTATATGTGTATGCGTAGAATTTACCTTTTAGAATTATCAAGACGAACAACTTCCTCATCTGATGACTCTGTTTCATCGCTTTCACTGAATGATGCATCTACTTTTTCATATTGCAGCAAGCGATCCAATAGGAAACTCTTGTCTCTATTCACCTTGAGCAATTTTCTTTGTGTAGAACGCAGAGCTTCTTGGAAACATTCATTTTCCTGTAATGGAATATATATTTGATTAAAATGAAAGAAAAAGAAAGCACTAAACACAGAAATGTTTCTCGCATACATAAATCAGGAATTTCAGCTTCCTTTTGAGATTGCGGTACTGGTCCTTATAGTTAGGCACTTCTTCCTCAGGACTATCTTCATCGTCTTCCTCTTCTGCGTCTGCATTGTTGTTGGCAATGGATCTGCAATACCATCCTTCCAACATTGATCATCTGCAACTGTAAAAGAAAATTCTTTTTAAAGATAACAGTATTTATCAAAAATTCTCTTTCTACTTTCTTTTTGATCAAAATTATTTTACTCAACATTGCAATAGAAAAGTTGTATCGCGAATCATTGATAAAGTTAAACTAAAAAGTAAAGTTATCCAATAATAAAAAAACATCTCGAAAATAACCGAATAAATATAATAAAATGAGTGAAAAGATCTTGAGAGACGCACTTTGAGTTTCTTCTGGGAGGTTAAGTCGTGCAAGAAACGCGTAAACTTATACGTCAGCTGTTTAATCGTGCGAAGAAACAAATGTCAGTCTTTAATCAGCTCTGATATTAACGGCGCATTTTCCTTTGCACTCACTTGAAACCCCAAAATGATTTGTCGCACGTCGCAAGCGCTCGCGGCGGCCGATTATTGCGAAGATAAATAAGCTGTTTATGACTGGCTTCCATTCTGAACTCTTTATCGATTCCGTAGTAACTTCAGCGCCTTGCCGGTCGAACGGAAGTGCGCGTTGTATCGTGTCAGTGTTGCAAACGATGAGAAATAAAAATATTATTCTACGATAAAATATCACTAATCATTCAAAAATTTGAACAACACATGATGTGTATTCTGAGATATATTATAATTATTATATATAGAGAAATATTAAAATATCTTGTTATTAGCAATTAAATTTTATACAAAGAAGAAATAAATTTAATTATTTTTAAATAATTATTGTTTCATTTTCTTAGCTATATGTCTTTATATACAGGGTGTCCGTCAATTTTCGACCTTAACGAAATAAAGAAGTAGATTGGCTCAAATTAAGAAGGAATGACCGGTATTGTTTTGGGATTGTCGCAATAATTAACGAAATATTAAATAAAGAAGATCGGCCAATCTGTGTGAGTAGAAGCGCGCGGCGACGAGAGTCGTCCCACTGTAATCCGATACTACGAGCGCGGCGAAGCGGTGGGTGGGTCGCTCTCCGAGACATGATAGTGGTTTGCGATATATCGCAATATCGCGCCGAAAAATGACTTGTCCTTTTAGTGGCGAGAAAATGATGCGCTAGCATTTCCACACCACCATGCGGTAGATAGCATGGTGCGCTTTTTTTATAGTGGTTTCCCCCATAGGCCTATTCCACTCTCAATTTGAAAATTATTCAAAATGCCATTACTATACGCTGAATACAGGTATATCGTAAATGTAAAAAATTAATGGTGACAGTACCTTTACAAAAATTGATCCGTGGTTGAAAATCCCTCGATAAAATGTATTGCACACGTTGATAATGATACGATGATAAAATGCTTCAAGAATCCTTTCTTCATCTCGTACACGAAGGCGCACTTCTGGACCGGTTATTCCGATATTATGCACGACACCCAGTTTCACATAATTATTGCACAACATGTAAAATTGTACGGCCACTTGGTTTTCGTGCACGCCCGAGAAATGATTCCATGTAAATTGCGGCCGCACGTAAGTAATCATAGTGCGCAGGTGTCGAACTCACACGTACGCTTAAGGCCGCAGCACACACTTTTGCATAAGCGCATAATCAGAAGCATAAGGAAATTGATTGGTCCCCAAGTATATGCATAAGAAAATGAACCAATCAATTTTTTTATGCTTATGATTATGCGCTTATGCAAAAGTGTGTGCTGCGGCCTTTACACTCACATGTCCGCTCAGCTGTCAGCTGTAGTTGCATGCTGCTGGCGTACGCAGTCTGGTAACAGCATGCGAGAGCTAAGACGTTTTAATAAAAATCTTGTGTTTGCGTAGTAAATTAACAGAGAAAATGAAGTGTACTCTGCAGGAATATACGAATATGATTGTGACATACGGATTAACGGGAGAAAATACTTATCGTGCGATTGCATTCCGACTCGCTTTTTTATTCGATATATATAAATATTTAATTAATTAATCGAACGATTGCATTCCGATTCATCTTTTCATTCGATATATATAAGTATTTAATCAATTAATCGAACGATTACATTCTGGTTCGCTTTTTCGTTCGGTATGTATAAATATTTAACGAATTAATCGAACGATTGCATTCGGCTTGCCATTTTACTCGCCGCGTTACAGTGAATATCGCGCGAGAGAGGCAGGCAACATGCGCGGCGTCGTGCACGATTTCGACCGTCCGCGCGCAGACGAAAAATGGCCAATTTATATCTCGACTTCCGGACGCGATAGCGATTTCGTTCTTTTTGCATAAAATTCTACACCATTTCGCGGCACTACCATTTAAATCTCGTCCCGATCGCCTGAGGAGCAGCTGACTTACAGTGAATATCCGAAATCTGCTTCTTGGACAGGGTGTCCGTCAATTTTCGACCTTAACGAAATAAAGAAGTAGAGTATACTCACGCAGATTGGCCGATTTTCTTTATTTAATATTTCGTTAATTATTGCGACAATCCCAAAACAATACAGGTCATTCCTTCTTAATTTGAGCCAATCTACTTCTTTATTTCGTTAAAGTGGAAAATTGCCGGACACCCTGTATATGTTGCGCGTGTATCACATATTCTACATATTTTACAATTTCATAAATTTATTTTTAAAAAATGTAATTGATTAAAAAGAATGTAATATGAAAAAAAAATATGATTAAAAAAGAAAAAGATAATTATACTTGTATAATAAAGAAAAGAATATATAATTATATATAAATATATATATATATATATATATATATATATGAGTATATAATTATATATAAAAAGAATACATAATTATATATAATTATATATAAATATATTAATTATATTATAAACTTTATGTAAAAAATTTCCATAAATTGAATTAGAAATTCACTCAAAGAATTGATATGAGAAATACAATATGATTTTGAAATATTAGAATTAAACTTTTATGTGTGTATATATGTTTGTGTAAAGAAAATTCAAAAATCTGATAATAAAATTACAAAATAATCTCTTTTAATTTCACTTTAACAATTCACTTCCTGAAAAGTGTATTACAGTCTTTATTATTGTTTCCAGTTATAACAATTCAGTGTTGTTATAATAATTCATTCTTTTTACACATTACCTCGTCCTATTCCTTTATCGCATATCGGTATTGCAAAATTGTCATCTTTAATCCCTTCGGACCGACAGGAAATAATATCGATCTTGCAAAGTTAGCACATGCGCCCTGAAGAATATCCTTCAGCGTCCGCGTGTGCGAGGGGTGAAAACACACTGAGTTCTTATCCGAGAAATATCAGTGAACATGTACAGCCGATTCCGATATTCTTGTTAATACGTAATAGTGTATTTTCGTTCTGAGAAAAAATGAGTCCTGGCTTGGGGCATGATCCTTTGCCATCGTACAACATCACTGCTCTCGGTGAGTTTGAGAGAATGACCCTTATATTTTTTTTGGAGCAAGATTTATTATCTCTCGTATTCGCACGAAATATCACAATTATTTATTCGTGAAATTACGAGAAAAAAAACAAATTACTTTTTCTCATCTTTTTTCCTTGTTAAAGACGAAAGCGCAATAATAAGAGACGTCCACCGTATGAATGAAAAGTTGTCGCCCGCAGGAATATTGCCGCGTTTACGTGAATAGAAAGTTTATATGAAAAGCAATAAATCAATCTATCAGTTCTTTTTCATTCTTTTCAAGGAAACACTGCTCTTTGCTTGTGGCAACAGCCGCAACACGTTTTGTTCCAATTGGCGAACTTCTGCTTCGCGTTATCATATTCGGCGCCGTCCTCTAAAAAGGGGATTTTGTTCATGCATTCAGTGTTAATCTTAGGTAAGTAATTAATAATGTAAAAAAGGTATGTAAAGTAATTTCGAAAAAATGTATTCTAAAATAATATATTGCATTAAAAAGATCGCGAAATAATTTGAACATTTTTTTATTGCTATTTTTATTTATTCTACTAGGCGCATGTAATTCTAATTTTAACTTGTAATTATGAAATTTTTTTGTAATTTTACAATATTTCTTTCAGGTTTTATGCTGCTATCAGGGTGGGCTTGGCATGTGATATGTGCACCAGATATTTTCTCCTGGAACTTTAGCTTTTTATTGCTCAATATCGGTCAATTAGTCTACATCGTTTATCAAATGAGACCAATCAAATTTGATCCCGAATTGGAAGAAGTTTATCATACGCTTTTTTACCCTTTCAAGGTAAATTTTTTACAATAATGTTGTAAATTCGTAAATATGATACATTTTTTTAAAGCGTTTTGGAATCAATTCCTTTTTTCTTAATACAGGTTTCACGACTGCAATTCAAACGATTAGTATCGCCAGAATTTGCAACGATAATGTCTCTTCATGCCGGCGAGGCGTACGCGATGCAAAATCTAACGAGAACAGATAGATTAGGTTTGCTTCTCACGGGTAAAGTTAATGTTTTGAGCGATACCAATTTTCTGCATCCCATATTGCCTTGCGAATTCCTAGATTCACCGGAATTTGAAAGTTCTCGAGCCTCTGTCGATGATAAATTTAAGGTACGACTTTATTTATTTCCTATCTAATTAGTAAAAATCCGAAATAAAATTAAATTCTTTAGGTATCTATCATAGCGGCGAGTTCCTGCAGGTATCTGTATTGGCAAAGATCAGCCTTGGAATACCTCCTCGTAAAGGAAACTTATCTTGCAACCGTCTTAACCACGTTGGTAGCAAGAGATATAGCAACGAAATTATATGCAATGAATAATAAGGTATTTGATAATAGAATAAAATCATAAACTTTTAGACTTACAAAAAATAAATTGTAATGATATATTTTATGTTTGAATTTTTACTGTAGAATATGGTTTTTCTTTCTTTAGCTTTTTTATTTTTTTGAAATTATATTTTTATAAATATTTATGAAATTATATATTCTCTTAATTAATATAAATAAAAAAAAAAAAATATATATATATATATATATATATATATATATATATGAACTATTTCTTATTAAATTTTTTATTGAAGTTTTGATTGATATTTTATCGATATCTTAGATAGTTACAGACAAAGGATCACACCTGGACATTCGTCTTCCTACGATTAGCGCTGGTTTAGGCATCAGTACCGAGTATAGGAGTCCTCGAGCTTACAGACAGGCATTGATCCGCAAGAAAGAAACTAAACCGATGCCTAACAATGGTATATTTGTTATCTAAGACAATAGATCAAATTAAATAATCCAAATTATTCTTTTAAAAATTCTGTGTGTGCGCACTAATTATAACAAAAATTATGTTTTAAAAATATTATTTGTATTAATATTAATTGATTGCATTTTATAGTTAGCATAAAATCTAAAGAACGCACGGTGAATAATCTAACGAAGAAGGGTGCGTCGAACATGGAACCTCTTCCGGAGTTGCCGTCCTGCGATGACCTGGCCTCCAGTGGTGTGGAGAGCTGGTTGGACTCCTCCAGCAAGTATCACAGTTGTGAAATTGTCGACGAGGAATAGCATTACGCTTCCTACTCGAATTACGAGAGTTTGCTCGGCGATGCTGAGGACGCCGAGCACGATATACAGCTTTTTGATTACAAAAGTGCTGATTGTTGGGGATCATACGACGACTGACGATAAACAAAATGGCGGTAAATAAAAGCATCAGTTTTTATTTCCGTCCAAAGCGTTGACACTGTTGGACTTTAATAAAACCGTTGAGACGGTTTAATTTTAGAGTTTTTTAATATTTTAATATTAATTTCATAATTAGACATTTCTTGAATTTTTAATAATAAATTCATCAACAGCAACAAAATTCATCAAAGAATATATCCTCACTAGACACAACACTGTACGATATATTCTGTAGATTTGTTGTTCAGCAACGACATTTGCAACGAAAGCACCTTTCGAAAAGTAATATAAATATAATGTAATATAAATTTAGCTTTGTACATATTTATAAATATCAAACTTAATAACGAATTCGGAGAATAGAAACTCTAGTCCGAGAAAAAAAACGATGCTTACGAAAATATTTTAATCAATTTTCGGAAAAAGCTAAAACGAGTTAAGTAAATCTAATATTTATATAAATAAATGCACACAAATACGCCTATAAAATTTTTGTAAATATTAAGATCAATCGAAGGATCACATAAGAGAGAATCTAGAATTTCTTACTAAAAAGATTTTTACGAAAAATATAAGAAAAATACATATAACATATTTACTCAAATTTTAAAGCAACATATTTATAATTAAATAAATAAAAATATAATATGCAACAAAAAGCGGTTCGTTAATCTCAACATTCTATCAATAATTTTTATTTTATCCTTTTATCCTTTATGAGCTCCTGGATACATTCAAAAAAAATTTGGAGAAGAGTATAAAAATTAAATATCTTTTTATAAATGTTTATAAACATTGTATATGTTTGTTATTATTAATTGTATGTCTGTTTTTCCATTGTTCTAATTATAACTGTAGTCTAATTATCAAATTTTTTAGGAAATATTTTCTTTTATTTTTTTTTAATAAATTTATATTTTTTATGCATATTGATAAAAAGAGCCAAGTTCAAATAGAAAAGGAAGTGTATATAGAAAAATCGAAGAAATCTATAAGAAGGGAAAAGAAAGAGAAAAAGGAATAGAAAGAAAGAAATCCCTTAACAGATAGTAAGCAGAAGAAAACCAATTGAAGGACTCTTGAATGAAATCCACAGCAATTGCTTTGAGGAAAGAGGGTTAACAAGCGGTGGTGCCACCTACGCGGAGGGCGTGGCGCTAGTTCCAAGGGTGATTTAGTGTCGCGAGGGCCTCCAGAGGCGCATCATCGCATGGAACGCAACCCCCCGGAGTGCACAGTTTCGCGCCCTTGGATCAGGGTGGCTAAGAGCGAGAGGGACGCGCGCTTGAGCGATCGAGCGAGCGCGAGGGGATCGAAAGCGGGCAGGTGGGCAAATTGAAGAAGGGGCAGCGAAGAAGGGGTGAGAAAAGCTCTGCTTAGGGGGTGACCAACGAGAGAGCAAGGCTGGCGTACTCCGCGCATACATCAACGAGCGAAGATTTCGCGCGGAGATGAGCGTACGAGTGGTCGCCGTCCTGTATGCCTCGTTCTCCCTCCGATGACGTCGTGTCCTTGCCGGACAAGGATTCCATACGAAGAGCAGGAGAATGTCATCGCCACCATCACCATCGGCAGGACGAAGGACACATCGCCATCGAGGATCGTTTTCCATCGCTCCTGGCGGCAGTGACCATGGCGCCAGTCCTGTCGTGTAAACAGTGTTCTAGCGGAGGATACGATCCGTTTTCCAGATTAATGATGCTGTCGTTGTGCCCTTGCTGACGAGCGGACGGAACATCTGGTGCGTTGAGAACAAGGGATGCTGGAGAAAGAAAGAGAAAGAGAAAGAGAAAGAAAGAGAAAGAGGAAGGAGAGAAAAAGAGAGAATGTCGAGCAGCTTCCAACGAAGCTACCAGAGGAGAGAGTGTTGATGATGATCTCATTTCTGGTGGCGTATGATCGCGTTGGAGGTTGATGGAGAATCGCGAACGAAAGAATTGATAAGCATGATGTATGAATGTTATTGATTAATAATATGATGAGAACACGCATCTCGGACGCACGGTTGTTGACTCGTGAGAGACTGTAGCGTGAATCGGCGTTTGTACTTCTTATTTGTGCAAGTTGCTCCGATCTCGATATAGTGGTAAGAATATCTTCTCAAAAAGCTTCAAAAAAGTTCTAGAAAGAATGAGAAATGAATAATATCTGATTACTATATATATATATTGATCCAAAGTGATGCTTTTAAGTGTGTATATGTGTGCATGTATATGTATGTGCGTGTATGTGTGCGCGCGTGTGCGTGTGCGTATATATGTGTATATGGTTGTTGGCTCTTAAATATTGTGACAGAAAAGAAATATCTTTTAATTTGACTATTTTAATTTTTGTATAGACAAGTTTATGAAAATTGATTCCAATCGATCTACAGCTAATGCAAGAATACATGATGTTTTAATTTACGAAACGCTGAAAGAAATGATCCGCGTTTATTTCACGAAAATTACGAAAAATGATAGTTGTTTGAATTGATACCATATCGCAATCAGTAAAGGTTAATCAGTAATTGAATTATGAATAAAACAATGATATTTGAATTATGAATAAAACGATGATATTTGATAAGCAGTTGTTAATGATGGATGAAATATCTATTCGTCTTGCTGTCTATATGTAGTAAATTGCTTTGTAATAACGATGAGAATAATGTGACGATTATATAAAAGTAATGGTTTTATGATAAAATAACGGTTTGATGATTATATAAAAGTGATGGTTTCATGCTAAAACATTTTTCCTCCCATTTGACAAAGTTATAATTCGAAATTATTTTAAATTAATAGCTGTTTAAATTGTATCAATTTTAAATGAAATTAATTGTAAAACTGGTATTCCGTCAAACTCGTTTTAATTAATATTCAGCAGAACTTTTAGTCTTCTCAAAAAGTTTAGTTTAAATTAACCGAGAATAAAACTCTAATGACGATTTATTTTAGACGAGTGTTTAAGAAATTTAAATTTAAATTAATTTAAAAAAGGATTTCTTATGTCTATTCATTTATGGATGTTGTGAAAGATTAAAAAATTAAAAAATTAATTGGAAAAAGGTACTTCTCTTCACAGTTTATCAATTAAATTCTAATTCAGATTAATGACAAAGTAGTTGGCGCTTATAATCACTTCGCACGAGTTAATCATGAAAACTCTATTAACTGACGTTAACTCATCTGAACTTTGTAATATCAGAGAGACAAGATTATGAGACGCTTGCTTATCTTTTTAATGAATAGTTCAATGAAGGATTCTCGTTGATTCCAACAAATCGTGTAATGTTTCAGGCATCTACAATAAGGCCGCGAAGAAAGCAAAGAAACGTTTCGTTAAAACAAATTACAGCAAACTCACGATTATTATTGTGACTCTATTTGTGGTGAGACCTTTCCTTGCGTGGCAAGCTTACCGAGGTCAAAAAGTAATTGGTTGCGATGGTGTCGTGCGCAATGATGCTCGTTCGCGTCGCGGATTTCGACGAGGACAGAGGAAGCCCAGCGTCTTCGTGCTCGCTGCTGTCGTCACATACTCACAGTAGACTGAGGTGTATCATCCTACACTTCAAAAGACATATCGCTTATCCACCATAAGGTAAGAATATAAAAGATATTAGTATATAAGTTAAATGAATCACACATAGCATAGTAACAATTGAGTCGTTCGATTAAGAGATAGTACGACATGCAATAAGAATACTAGATGTAAGCTGCAAATAATGGAAGATTACGTCTTTTCGCGAAAAAAAGTCACATTACGAGAGAAATTAAACACTTTTTAGCCATTAAGATCTCTATCTCTTACGTGATAATCTCTCTAATCGTGGTCGTGTTCGCGTTGTCTCGACGCAAAAAAAAAGAATTAATTGTGACATGCGACGTTAGAGCATTTACCTGTTGCTTTACGTTCGTGCAAAGAGGTGACGAGACTTGCAAGTAACGGGCCGCTAACTTCGTAATTTGTAACAATTCGGTGAAATTGAAACATAATCTTTCAAATATTCAAGGAAAGCCAAGACGTAATATTTTATCCAAAGTAATATTTTATCAAAAGAGAATGCTTTTAATTTTGAATCTGCAAACTGACTTAATTGTGAATATATCAAATGTATAATTTGATTTTCATAATAATAATATAAGTATACATAAATTTATAATCTAATATTGAACGAAATAGTTGTAATTTATAATTCAACTCGTTTTCCACGTATTCAGATTTAATTATAAATTATTATTAGTATAATGATGCCTTTTGAATAATTCAGCATTTTATAAAATTGTTCATTTTATGTATACGTATGCGATGTGCCTTTGAATATCACGATATGACGCAACATTCATACGCTGAAGCCCGCGACTGCACGTAAGCCGTGCATTAATTTTTTTTTATTCTGGACAAACAAGAAAAAACCTACAAGATACGCGCCTTGCGCTGGAATTTGAATTCGGATCACGTCTCGATAAAACTGGGGATTATACAGTCGATTTGCCGACACGTGTGTTCGCAGTGTGTAGCGGCCTTTAAGAAGGAGAGTTGCACGTAGTAGACCGCGTGGTTCCTCCGTCACCGTCGAAAGGGTCGATAGCCCTCTCTCTCTTCGCACAGCGCTCGCGCCAACCCCACGCGCCTCGTTATAGTTGCTTTCAGCTGTTGGCTGTTTACTACGGCAAAAGACTGTCTCGTCGGAGTATTTTACACAAAATTGTCAGTCTTCGTAATTTGAGAAATTAATTCTCTTTTCTTTGATGTCGTATTATTGATTCATTATTTGAAATCTCTTCGATATCACATTTCGTAAATTCACGAAGGTTTCTTTGCATCACCCTGTATACATTCTTTCTCCTCCGTCTTCGGGTTAAAATTGCCACTTTATATGATAAGTAGTATCGTGCTTCGTAAGAATCGAGCAGAATTTTACTGTGCTTAACTGTGGCAATTGGGTTTTACTGGGTTATCCGTCCGAGTAGTTAAGTCCTTCACTACTCGCTTAAGTAGAAGAGGACTTGCGATAAAAGGCGAGTTGTTCAACATCAAGCAGTTAATGCAATTAATTTGTAATACGGATAAAACATCGATAATCTTGCATTTGAAAAAAATAGTTTAGAGTGTAAAAATAGTTTAGTTGACAATTAATAGCGGTATGCAAAAGACGAGAAAAGAATAATGCTGCTACACATGACTTCGATTTACTTATGAAGTAATCGCGAATTCCAGACGCGGAGCTCGAGAAAATCGCACGAAACAATTTATGTGCGATGGACTCGCACACGATAAGCTTGACGGGGCAACAAGTGTTTCCGGCCCAAGTCCAAACGCAAATCCAATATATTCTGGCGAAGATCTTCATGACTTGGCAAAAGGCATTTTTGCAAAAATTGACATGCATTTTTTGCAAACATTGTTATTTTTAAATTTTTATATCACTATTTTTCATTGTAAAATCTCAAATCTACTAGATGGATCAATTTACTTCGATCATTAATTTGCAATAAACTTTGTCGAAGGAATAATAATTTAATACTTTATATGTCTATTTAATTTCAATTAAAAAATTAAGATGATAGAATATAATAATTAATGACCATTTCTATATAATTTTAATTAATCTTTAATTGTTCGTCCAATTTAATTATTCTTAAGCATAATTATTAGCGCGGTTTCTTGAAATTTAAAATGATAAAGTCACAGATAAAATAAATATAATATTCATGTAAAGAGAAAGAAATTGCGAATTCAATAACTCACGAAGGATCCTGGTGATGATCTGGAACGGGTGAACCATTTTCATGGAGAGCATAAGAAATAAGTAATTCCATCAGCATAAATTGGATTGACCGATCAAGTGCCGCAGTTTCTGTCTTCTATGACTTGTCGGTTACCATTTTAGTGAAATTCGTGGGATAGAAGAGTAAAGGGTTGGCATCAGACCCTCAATATGCGGCTTTAATCTAATTCGAAAGCTGTCCGACAAGCCACCGCAGCCCATCGTAAAACGAATCGGGGAGTGACAGAATGTGTTCGCTTGGCAATTCCAGGGTGATTTCAGAATAGTCACGTAACGTTATCGCTGCTGAATTTCAGTCATTTTTCTCATTTACATTTTTATTACCTACTTTAATCCTTTTGATTAACTTTATATCAGATAATAGAATAATAAAATTAGTTCCTAAGCGACCGTTTGTGCATTAAGATTTTCTTTTATAATGCATGTATATATTATAAAGAGAAATGTATTTTTTTATGCACGCATGTGTTTATATTTACAGTATGTGCAATTTAAATATCTATGATTTTTCCGGATTTAAATATTCTCGATTTTCTAAAAATATCCTGCAATTAGTGGAAACGAAATCAATGTTTTCTATACCACAAGCCGACATCTTCGAGGTCGGAACAAAGTGGCAAACGGAAGTAAAATCTCAAGGAAGCTTGTCGTCACGCAAGCCGTATCTTGCCCGTCGACAAGATTATTTTCATATTTTCAGGAGACCTAATTTACATACGGACTCACGGCACAAGCAATAAAAGAGAGCATATCGGTTTCTTCATTTTCTCCCGATATATCATCGATGTTAATTTGTTCGCTCGAATCAACTCAATTAACGTAATTTGCATAGAAATGCACTCAAAAAGAAAATAAGCGTTTAAATCAATATATAATGTATATATTATTCGATCTTTTGAAATGCTATTGTTCTTCTACTTCATTGACCTTTCGTCAAAATTTTGTATAGGTGATTTATTTTTTTCAAATAAAATCATTAATTTTTAATTTAATAATTTAATTTAATTTAATTTAATAATTAATTTTTAAACACAAATTAAATTTAAAGCAAAAAAATGTAACATGCAATAATTCAAAGTAGTCGAGATAAATAAGATACTTAGCGCATATCGTGCGCTAAGTACAATATACGTATAAACATGTTTGAATCGCGTGACTCTATAATTACGTATTCTGTATTTCTCTTTACCATCGATCCTTTACAAAACTTTTTTTCAAAATTTCTTGCAAGAAAAATCAATTTTTTTAAATCCGTGACATCGGTCGAGCAAAAATTCGATACTTCGTAAATATGCAAACTGTACACATTGCAGGGCGGCATTTAGAGCCTAGTGTAAATCACCACACCCTGTTATAATGTCATGTGATTTACCCTGACCCAGCCGAGCCCACATAGAACCCGCGAATAAGTCTTCTGGGGCGATAGTGAGCACGGCCAGTCACGAAAGCCTCTCCTCCACCTTCGTCCTTAATTAGCATACGAGCTAAGTCGATACAGCGGCACGATGACCTTGAAACTTTTCGTCTGTCTGTAAGAGGCATCTTCGGCTAATTCATTCGTTTCGTGCGAATTGCTTCTGTAATGTCATCAGTAAATCAATCGATCAACGCAAACTGGAATACAATAGAAGTAACGCCACACAGATAGTAGATAAATTTTAGATTATCTTATGAAAAATAGATGAATAAAGAATAAAAATTCAATTTTTTAAACTTATAATTGTAAGATTTATATATAGAAATCAATTTTTATACTCTCTACATAATATTCTAAAATAAATATAATTTTTGCCTTCACAATTATTCATATTAAAATTTTAAATAGAAAAAGATTATATAAAATGATTAGAATATTCTATTTAATGTTTATGGAATGTATTAGGATAATTGGAATTCACACGGCAAAGCAACCTAATCTTCAGATACAGCAATTTTGATGAAATCTATAGTTGAAATCTCGCCTGTAAAGCCGACTATCTCTGGCTACTTCCCGTTTCCGTTTGCGAAGAACGATTCACGTCACAACGAGATTTAAGCGAAAAGATATCAAGATATGTTCAAACTTGTATCGCGGTGCGGTCTAAGCCGCAAATTAGGATTTGCATAACGAAACGGATGAGCTACCCTTGTAGCAAACAGACGTTAACTCTTCAGAGATCGCACGAACACGAAATTAAGTTAATACGTTTAGGGAAAACTAGACTGTATCACAAAGATAAATCAAGCTTTAACAGTAATAATGGTTTGCCCTAGATGTAATTATCTCCAGAATTCGCAATATAATATGACCTATATAATAGCTATTTTAAATATAGGTTCTACACTGACTATTTGAAGAATCTCGGTCGTCAATTTATAACTCTTTTGAGAAAAATATTTCACAAAAAAAGGATATTTATATTTGTATGCATTATTTTATAATATGACACAAAAATGTTGCACAAGAAATAGATGAAATTCTTATTTATAGTCCAGAATATTTGAGTAAATATAGTGATCTCTTTTGGATATAGATTCTAGATATATACGCAATTGCTCTCTGTTTTTTTGCAGTTAAATGTGTAAAAAATATTCAACTGTAAAAAAATACGATCGAAACCCTGTGATTTTAGTTATCCATGAATATTCATGCCTCCTACGATCTTGGGTGCCAGTTTACACCTATTGTACGGTAGTTGAATCAGGCCGGAAAGAATGTCCTAACGAATTTCCGTTCAATGGAACGTAGTTCCGTTAGATGAAAGCGTGGCATCGGCCTACCTCGGACGGAAATATCGAAAATCGAATAATAATATTGAATCATTCCGAGAGCGGATTCACGCTTATTGGCGCATACTGTGTCAGCGGAAAGGACTCTAATGGCATTTTTGGCCATTTCTAGCTGGTTGCGTAGCTCGCATCAATAACAGTGTCTCGCAAAAAGATAACTGACATTTCTTTTGTGTAATTTTATTTTTTTTTAGATAATCAAAATAACCGACGATATTTTCGTTGAATCGCAATCGATTCTGAATCAATGATATGAATTGCTTTTCTTTACGGAATAAATGAAGGGCATTTATTTAAAATTATTTTAATCTATGTAATTTTAACATATATTTTATATATATAAAATATATAAATATATATATGTATATATATTTTTTTCTTTTTCTCTTTACTTTCATATAAAGATAGGTATTTTTGTTATCGTTAGATATGCATATTTTTATATTTTTAATTTTGAATAAGAATTGCATGCATTTATTATCTTCAATCTGAGAAACAGAATTTGCTAGTTTTAGCTTATATGGTAAGAAATCACGTGAAATTCTTGGATCAAAACGATAGCAAAAAGTAGATTTTATATAAAAAGGAATTTGCGTATAAAATCTAAAATCTTGTTTTATAGTATAAAAGTTATGCAGATATATCTTGGAAAATGGAGTGATCTAAAAGCCAGTACGTGCCAAGAGGTTTTGTTCGGTTTCGCGGTTTGGAAGTCATTCGCGCAATTTCGGGGCACAATTCAGCTTAAAAACAGATAAGATCGACTTCTCTGGGCAATGACGTAATCGATCCTTAACTGCATGCTATTTTGAGATTTTCGCCGTTTGGTCAGAAAATATCCCGCGAAATCTTTGAGCCGGCGGCGAAACGAAAGGCTAAAGTCACGCAGCCCTTCGGCGCGACCTCGAAGATAATAAAGCTCAGATATTGCATCCCGAATCACGAAGAGCCGAATCAATATTCCACGTTAATCGCACAGTTGTTTGTGGCTTCCACTGTAAATCTGACAGTCAGTGCTTAACTATATTTTCGATAAATTAAGGGCAAGAATATATACAGATATGAAAGCGCTCAGATATGAAAGGTCAGCTTAAGCGACTAACGGATATCGAAAAATTGTTCATATAAAAAAACTTCTCTGACTCAAAATATGATAGCTTAATTAGTCGCTAATATTCATTTGGCAATCAAGATTTTAGTTATCTCGAAGAGATATATAAAGGTCATGATATTAAAGTTATCTTCTTGAAAAAATCTACAGTATTTCACTTTCTTATTATCAAGAATCGTTTTCTTTTTTATAATAATGATTTTATAACTATATTCTCTATAAAATTTTTGCACAATAACATTGAATATCTTTTTAAAATTATGAAAATAATTAAATATATAATTAAATATACATATATATAATGAGAATTTACAGGTATAGATTTTCAAAAATCGATATCTAAAAGGGATTAATGCTCCTGGTATTGCAGAGGTCGATGGTGATGGCACGTGTCACGCGCCCTCGACAAAAAATGGCGAATACGACTGATTCACCCGCGACGACCGGCGGCAGCCTCCTCTCGTCCTCGACGACGACGCCGTTTACCAACTCATCGACGTCGGCGGCGACCTATTCGAGTGAGGGTTATACCCTCAACTATAGCGGTCTGCCCAGTCTAGGCGGCTATTCGCTGGATGATCTTAACTACACGTGGCTTCAAGACGTCTTGAATAATACGTCCACCGAGGTCAACAATGTCACTGAGAGGCTGAATGCGACAGTATTAATACCGGGTGGTTACTGTGACGAATGGGAGGCTGCTCAGCACAAGCTCTTCCAGGTGACAATTCGCTTTCGAAGACATTAAAATTAAATTTAATATTAATAATTCATTAAATAATAAAGTTTAATTAAAGTCGAACAGTCAAATTTAATTTCTTTTAAAGATTTTATGTAATATTGGACTATCAATATCTTTTATTTTTCTTTTTAAAAACTTTTTCTTGTTTTTTTGAAAAATTTAAAAATTTGTTATTGATTATACATTAATTTCAGGCAGCGAATTTATTTTTTGCGGCTGCGTTTCTGGTGCCGCGCTCGTTTAAAGCTTCCGTCTTAGCTCTTCGCACGTTTCTCACGGCGGGCTTTATGTTGGCGGCTCTCTGGGCCGGAATCACTATATGCGCCTTGGACGCTATGTTGTGGTGCTTGGCCCTCGGTCTGCTGAATGGTATTCACTCATTGATACTCGCCTGTCGATTCCTGCCCCCGGCTCTCAGTCCCGAATTAGCCGAGCTCTATCTTAAGCTCTTCAAGCCCTACAAAGTCAGCAAGAAACACTTCCAGGAGTTGGCGAAAGAGGCGAGAATACTTAAGCTGGATTCCGATCAGACGTACGCAACGGAAGGAATTACGCCGGCAGATAAAAGGCTGTCCATTCTTTTACGTGGAAAGTGAGTGATTCTTCTTTTTAATTAAAAGCTAATTCCTTCCGAATAAAGATGTTATTTTCCGCGAAAGAAAATTGTTCCTAATAAAAGACTAATTGAAGCTAGATTAATAAAAACGCTAATACCTTTTTATATTATTTCTATGATTTTTATGAAGTAAAATTAATATCGAAAAAAGAAAGGAACTTGTAAAATCCTTTTATATCCTTTAGTTAATCTTTTTATTAGTTGCATTCATCCATTATTATCAATTGGAAAAAAAGATCTTATTCAACATTTTTTTGTCGAGCGTAGAAAAGTCACGTACAGTTTCGATATTATATTAAATCTCGCGCTTTCGATTCCAGACTGAAGGTAACTTGCGATGGAACACACTTGCATTATATCAGAGCTTATCAATTCGTCGACTCACCCGAATGGGAGGCCATGCACGAAAACGACGCCGATGTCTTCCAGGTGACAATACGAGCCGAGGAGCCTAGCACTTACATCTGTTGGACGAGAATGAAGTTGCTCAGGGTGCTCCGGCACAGGCCGCTGCTCAAGGTCGTTCTCAACACCCTCATCGGTAAGGACATTACGTCCAAGTTGTACGCCCTTAACGAGCAGCTCGCTGGTGTCGCGACCGCCAGTGAGAACGCCACGACGAATCCTTACAGGGGAGTCTCGAGAAGCGTCAGCGTCGACGCCGTTAACACGGAAACCGCCGGAAAGATTCGATCGACGACCTGGAAGGCGCAGAGGCGGTACAGCAACCCGCGTAATGATAGTGAGTCTCTCGTAACCTTTTCCTTGCTACTAAATGACATTTTCCTTATTCTATTTCATCTATATCATCTGTCTGTAGATCTTGAATTTTAGTCTTTCACAAAGATTCCGATATATGTTCACGTCATTTCACATTTGTCTCATACAATTTTGCATATTATTTCCCTATAATCTATAATCTTTACTAATTCGATTTACATAATCAGTCATTTCGATTGGCATATCCCGACGTTGGATTTTTAAAGGCTAAGACAAAGAATTGTATCAAGAGATGGTCGCAATCTTTATGCCCTCCCTCTTCAGGATATTCCCCAGCTCGGAATTCGCATCAATATTGGACGCCGGTGGTTGCCAACCACTTTCCGCCGACTTCGCCGTTTATTCAGAGCCAAAATCTCGGCTACTCGTTACTGCCGCAGGGTATCCAATTTTCGCCACCTCCGCGAGCACCCGCCCTGTCTCACCCCCCTGTGGCGCGGCAACGAAGCGGGGGTGCTAGCGGCGATTACACCCTGCTACCTCAGACACCGAAGCTCGAGAGGAAACGATCGAAAAAAGGGACTAGAGAGGTGGGTCGATGTCATTCTTGGACTTTATTACGTTAACCCTATTATGAAGATAGTGGCTTAAGTGCCTTTTCCATGGCACAAAAGATGTAGCAACTATTTTTAGATGTAGATAAAGGCACACGCAAATTCGAAATAAATTAACACATTTAATATTTTATCATATTCATCATTTAATCGATATCTTATTAGAGATATTTAATTAAACGCCTTTTTATGTTTTCTAAAATTAACAAAAAGTGTAAAATATCTCAAAAAATATTTTATTTAATTTTTATTTAAATCTAATCATCCTTCTTTTGATATGTACAAACGGAATGTCACGTATAATAATATATGATATTGTTGAAAGAGAACCTTATTGCGCGCACCATCATTAACGCTTTCCTTCTAAACAATCAAACTATATGTATACTACGCTATTACGAGAGAGTTATAGTAGTCCTGATTGTCATTCTAAGTGTACTTTATATGCTATGTACACCTGGATATATCAAGAGAGATATTTGTAGACTCATCCTTCAAGCAAATATACCCAGCAAATGTGCATGAATTCTCTAGTGTACTTAAATGCAACGTAGTTATTGTTTATATAATTCTAACACTGTAATTATATTGTCTTATGCGTTTAGTTGTGGGCATTTCATATATTTGTGTTTATTAAGACTTTGACCGATTTAGAGATAACAATCATATCGATCCATTTCGATAGCTTCATAAGCAGGCATCTAGATATGCATGCATTAAGATATGATTGATGATATCGTTTCCAATAATATATTGCGTATAACAAAATAAAAAATATCTTTTATTATTATTTGTCTCCACTTCGAACAAATAATTTTATGCGTTTCATGAATTTGTAAAATAATGATGCTCTCCTCCAGGTGACCTTCGAGACACCGGTATGACGCTCACTTGACGGGGAAGGTCCTGCCAGCGTGCCTCTGCTTTCACTGTCGCCGCAGCGCTCTACCTAGCCCCGTCGTGGTCTCATTGTCACCCTAAAACACATCGCAAAACTCACTCTTTGAACTTCCGGTCAACGAATGGCCTATCTCCTCGAATGGGAAGGGAGAATGCGACGATCACGATACGAGTATGCTTTAAGATATCATGGAAGCCTTCTTGGTACCGCGTAATTGCAAGAGAGAAAAAAAACGTGGAAGAAAACGAAGTTGTTGCGGGTGCAGTTTTGAGGTGTGCCATTGATTTTCATATCCTGCAAGTGCCACGCCTTACATAGACACGCATGCACGTGTGAAATCGAAACCGCGATGATGGTCGTGAAGACAATTCCGATGTCCCTACGAGATCGGGACGTTCGTCGGAATTTTGAGATGGACCGAAAGGTGACGTGAATCGTTCGTGAATTAACGTGGAGAGAGATAGAATAAACGATGAAAATCGTAAAACGAAAGACTAAATATAGAATATAATGTATCGATGAGCATCGTCTCTATGTACACACACCTTTACATCGACTGTGATTACAACGGATATAATTATTAAGTCTTTCAGAGAAACGCTGATTATATACACATACAAAAAGAGACACGTGCGTTAATTAGCTGCCGCGGTAATCACACACGCATGATCAATCTTAACGCTTGCGTGAATTCAGGTGTCCTCCGTTAAAAACCGGTGCGACGATTTTCGGTTTAGGGTAATCCTGCATTTACAAGATTTTTAATTTTACATAAATTTTTATTTGTTTTATACGTTTTCGGCGGATTTCTGTTTTCGATGCTTCCGTGAAGCCTTTAATTTTTTTATACAAACGTTTCCTGTCCGTAAATTGTCGAATTTTTATATATCTTTACATTATTACATATGTGCTCTTTAAAAAAAAATTATATTATATTAACGAAAGACATCTGAATAGCACAAATTGGAATCGTTGTATAAAATTAGTGCATAAAATGCGCATTCACGATAAATGTGATATACTGAGAAAACACGCAGCAGATTTTATTCGGCGAACGGAAAGAAATTCCATTTGCACTTCCTTAATCAAATATAAAACGCGTTAAATAAATAAACAGAAAAAAAAACTGGAAAAGTGAAATGGAAAAACATGTCGAATAACCCAAGAGTAAAACAATAAGTGCTTCGTTAAAAAAAAGCCTGCAATAAAGTGCTTCGAAAAAAGTAGTTGATGGCGAGATACAAATTATAAAACAAAGTTTAATTATTCACGCAGATTAAACGGGAAAAAATATACGTCGTGCATAACGTAGAAGAAAAAAAACATGTGTGTTTGTATGTTTCTATGTTTATATAATCGCCGCGTGTGAGAGCGAGGCTGTAGAAGATCAATAAAGACGCACAAACGATTAAACAAAACACGTAAAGGAAATAAAATTAATTAAAACGGCTGTGTAGAGTCGAGTGTAAATGTTAAAAAATGCAAAAATGGCTGTAGAGTATTGTAACGTTACGAAGGAATGTGTGCAGAGTATGCTCTAAGAGGCGCACGTCGGAAAGGATCGCCGTTGTTCAAGTAGAAATTATTTTCGTCAAATCAGACGAGATATCATTGTAATATTCCATCGTTATGTAGTTGCTTTTGTAACAACTGGACGTATAAATATATATATAATAAATCGAAATATAATAACTTTATATATTTATAATAATCGAAATTTTGAAAAGACTGAGTTGCTGACTGGTATTGTAAGTTTGTTAGTTTGAATAATATTTGCAATATTTCCTCTCTGAATTAATTAATATTGTCGCGATATATTTGTCGGGTTGATTTTAGGATTAATTTGAATTTTGAGAAAATTTAGTTGTACAAGACTGATCTATTTTCCGACGTAGACACGAGCCTAAAGTACGAATGGATTTGTTTGAGTGATCTTTGTCGACGTTCAAGAAAGAATAAACGAAAGCAAAACAAATTGCGTGAGATAGAGACTGCAGCAGCGACACATCAACATCACGATATTGTACATTATTATTATTTATGATTACAATATGTTCGTTGACTATTATGTTAGAAATAAAAATACATTGAAAAATGTGAGGTGTAATATTAAAAATGAGCCAACTTATCCTCGTTTTAACTTATGATTTTTCTCGCTATTATTATAATTCACAATATAATATAATTCAGAAATTACAAATAAAAATGAAATATGATTTCAAGAATTAATATTCTACATACATATTCTATAATACATATTTAGAAATAAAAAGAATATTTTCAGAGTAACATAAATTATATATTTAAATAAGCATATATCTTAAATTAGCAGTATCCTTTAAATATGCAAAAAGATTAACATATAAAATATAGCAAACAAATAAAAAGACATAAAACTGAAAACTTAATTCATTATTTCGTTAGAATTAGCTTATAAAATCTCATTATTTGTTACGAAGCAAGCAACGACAATCAGTGATTTATTTTTACTTGTACTCCTTTATCATCAATCTCATATAGTTTCAATTCATCATCGTCATCATCATCGTCCTCAATATAATCAGTATCTCGTGGAGAATCTATAATATGTTGACGCTGATGAGACTGATGTTCCTTCTTTTCCTTTTTTTGCGGAAATTGTATGATTATGACATAAGGTTTGTCATTGTTAAATGTATCTACTGAATCCTCAGAATGCGGTACATATCTATATAATAATAAAAATAAGCACAATTAACAAAAAATATTATCAAATTAATAAAGATAAAATTAAATTAAATTAAATTAATAAAGGTAAAATTAATAAAATTAAAATTAAATTAATAAAGATAAAATAAAGATACAATTTTCTTAAATAAATATAATGATTTTACTTATGGTAATCTGGTTCATGAGAATGATATTTAGGCGGTCGTATTGTTTTGGAATGGTAGTGTCTTCGGGGTTTTGGAAATGGACGCCAAACGGATGGTGGATGCCATGAATGGCGATTATAAAATTTATATGGTCTTATAATTTTATAAGTTTCATTAAATTCTACGAATTCCAATATTAAGGCAAAAAACAGAACAATCACAGATAGCTGGAAATTATTATTAGCGTATCAAATTTAATTAATATCGATTCTCGCAACTAAAAATATTCTTTTTAGTATTAATTAATTAACTTACCTGCATTTGCGATATAATGTGGAATATTCCTTTAATTAATACGAATGTGTTTCTCTCCAATGCACTTAACCCACCTTAATTAAATTAGTAATTAAATGAATACATAGTTGATTTATGTATGTACTGGAACGGAATGACATTTCCTAGAAATTCTTTTTATCATCTCTTTTTTTACCAACTGGTATTTGTTAATTTATCACTTTCTCTAAAATAACTATTCCTTAATTTCTATTTTAATAATTTTAATAATTTTAATAATTTTAAAAGCAAAATTTTCATACCACACATTCGAAAAATGAGAAATTTAACTTGTTAGATATCACTAGCAATAAAATTCGTCGATTTTAAATTGTTATTAATATCGTGCGTCAATCCATGTTCTTTCTCGAAACAAAATTCAGGCCACATTAATCTTTGTCATCACTGAAGTTTTGGATAAAGAGAAATGTTTATGTGGTCGGATGGAACTTGAATGGACCGAAATGAAACCAATAACTCGAAAGTCTTCGAACGGGCGACTTTCTTTTATATATTCCCTTCCCCATTTCTTCTAAATCACAATCTCAAGGCACAATGTACGTGTACAATGGTTTACACATGTCGTCGTAAAACTGAGATCAAATTTATTACAATTTTTTTTAATAAAGAAAATTTTTTTAATAAAGAAAATTTACTACAGAAAATAAATATTTAAAATATGCTTGGAAATAAGCAAGTGGATAAAACAAGAAATTATTTGATGAATCAAGTTAAATGTATCAAATGGCATATAATTAACATAAAAAATTGAAGGAAATTTCAATATATAATTTGTGGATATAGGATTGTAAAGGATCATATATTCAAACAAATGAGTCATTTGCAAATTAAATATATGATTTATGTATTGCATTATTAGTTATTTTCATTACTTGTAGAATATTAATATTGTTTGTAATCTTGTAGATACATGCATCTGTGTAAATGATTAAATCATATAAAAATACTAGATAAAAACAGTTTCTTTTTCAACAAAACAGCTATTAACTAAAAATTTTTTACAGTTTTTTTAAATTTAACATATATTATAAAATTTTCAAAATTACTAAATTACGTAAATTTTTCGTCAATATGTATATAAATAAAAAACTAAAATACATTTTTATACATTTATAAATAATTTAGAATTATTTTTAATCATTAAAACATCACACTCTTAGAAAAGTGAAAAAATAATGTAACAGAATAAAAAAGATGTTTACGTTGAGAAATAGTCGTAGTTGATGAGCCGTGAAGCCAGCAGAAAGAAAAGTGAATGAGGACGTCTATAAAAAAAGTACTATACTTTCGAGATACTTTCAAACACGTGCGATACATGTACTTACTTTCGAGAAGATTTCTTTAGAAAGAGTGCTCATCGTTGTGAATGAAGTGTGTTATTGCTTTGCTGTTCATTTCGTCAATCTAGTTATCAAGGATTTTTTGTTCAAGTTCTTGAGTACTTTCTTTTTTTAATTATAAAAGAGAATATTTCACGCGGTATATAATCATTATGAATCAAAGGCACGTTTGCACGTATCTTGTACAGATTTTTATTCAACTTTTGGAAGATTTCGGAATATAATTATAACATTACAAAATGTATTGTTATAATTACATTCGTAATTAGTACAGATTCGTGAATTCAGTTCATATCATAAAAGTATAACTCTTCATACATTTTATTATACTGCACATTATTGTTCTCGCTATTTTGCACTGAATAATAATTACGATTGCAATTAAAGTTTATAATAAATTATAACAGGATTGCTTACTTAAATAACAGTCATCTATAATTAAGCGTTTAAACAAAGTACGTCATTTTTAAACCCATAAAAAACATTGGAGAAATATGTAAATAAGTATATAATTAAGTACATTAAAGTTAGAGGCATTTTAATTAAAAGTTCGCTTTCTTCTTATCGTAGTATACATCTACTTTCAGTATAACTTCACGATTAAATATAATACTTTGCGCTTCAAAGAATGTATGAATATTATAATTCACATGTATTTAAATCTTCTTAGCACTTCTGGTAGTAAATATGTATTTAAAAATTCCTAGCCTAAAAAGAATTAAGAAATTTTCAAAACAATTACAAAGTTATGTAAAAAAATCTTAATTATCTGTTGTTAATATAAATTTTCAGCTCTTATAAAAATTTTTATTTAAGTATGGATAAAAATATATCTAAAAAAAATGAAAAAATACAAAATATAAAAATGGAAATAGTGAAAATGGCAATGATAGAAGAACGTCTGGAATAAAAAATGGTTAGAAAATATGACTTAATTCTAATTGACACCACTCATAATTCTAATAATACAATCGCTACGATAATTATAGTAATCAGTCATTATCAATAACATTATTATTAATAGATTTCATTTAACGACACTTGAATACTTTCTATAAGTAGTAATCGCGTCGCCACATTGAAGTCACAAATCAAACTCATTCATTCTTTTCTTTTTTTAAATTAAAATTAAATTTGTAAACAATTAGAAAATATTCATATTACTATCATTCTTATCACATGCAACCTCTTCTACTCGTCACGTCTATTTCTAGAAAATATCTATGCTATAATAAAATCTGTCACCCTCTTTTTTCTATAATATGTATAGTTAAATTTTAAATTAATTCGGTTAAATTATTTCGGTTTCGACACTGTGTTTAAGTCAACTGAAACATAATACTTAGATTCTATTCAGGCTGATTAAATCATAGGAAATGTTATGATTTAACGAAAACAATTTAATTGCACTAGAATTAATTTCTCACACAAGGATTACACATTCGTCTCTTGAGGTTCAGTGCAATCAGTGGGCTTGATTTCTAGCCACCAATCGTTGGGATAATGATATTTTTGTAATTCTATGCCTTCTCGTGGCACGGGCATCAATCGACCGCCAAATTGTTTCGCCGGTAAGGGCGGTATTACTAATTGCGGTGGAAAGCATTGTAAACTTGGCGAGAACTCGCAATCCGGAGGAAGGACCCTTCTGGTCCAACCAACTCTCCTTACCATCTGTGTCTGTAAGTGTCATATAAGTGACTAAATCTTTCCGAAGTGTTGTAACAACATGTTTTACAATATATATCTTTTTTCGTTTGGATAATCTTTAAAAAATATTTATCTTAAATCGAAAGAAATTTGGTTTAATGAAATTAAATATTATAAGTTATATAAATCTAAAATTAAAGTGGATTTAGTAAATTAATGATTTGTCAAAAAATCTGGAGCATAATTCTTAAATAAAGAGTAATAAAACGTCTATTGTCGATTTATAAACAAATGCATTGCTAAACAAGTTCTTTTTGTTTGCCCATAAAATACGTTGTAAAATAACTTAAAAATTGCAGATATTTTAGTTTTCTTAGTTCTTTCATAGAAATAGTGCTCAAAGCGTAAATTGACATTCACATGTCAGATACATAAAATGCAATCTTACTGAATACAAATTCTGCTCTCGACATAAAAGCAAGGAAGAATCGTTAAAGTTACAGCCGGCGATTAAACTGATGATAGAATAATTTTTAAATATGAAGTAGATATTAACTAAACAATAAAGTATCAATAATAAAACAATAAAAAGACAATGAAATGGATAAATGTGAAGCGAAATATTAACGAAAGAAATAGTACTCATCTTCGATTTTAATTTATTTTCAATTTTTGTCTACGAATGTATCTTTGCATCTTTAAAAAATTGAGTCGTTTAAATTTAAATTTCAAAATTTAATAACTTTTATTAATATAAAATTTATTTTAAATATAAAACTATTTCTTCGTACGAGAAAAAGTTTTTTACCACTGAGTCTTCCTCGAAAACAACCACCTCCACTTTGGGTGCATCCTCGCCGACCTCGTGTTCCTGTATTCTGTAAATTCCTGCCGCGTGGAGATAGGTTGCACTCAGACCGACCTCTCGAAAGGCCTTCGTGATCAAGACATCGTCGCGGAGAGTGTCCACCAAGCATAGTTCCACTTTGCGAGCCCACGGCAGTGCACGGCCTATACGAACTTGACCCCAAAGGCCACCCAGACAGAGAAAGTGAACGATGTTCAACTTAGAGAGAACCAAATGAGCCCTGGTAAAATTTGAAAAATATTTGCATATTCAAGGAAGATTTCTAATTTAATATTTTAGGATATCAAAAATTTTTCTCTTTCCCTTTTCTAAAATTTTTAATGTTAGTATATTTGAAGACTTGGTATTACAATTATAAGCCTTACATATTACGTGGAGATCTTTTAATTTAAATTTAATGTACGAAACAAAAATAAAATTTCGTTAAACATATATCTACTGTTGCAGTTTAATCTAATGTTTATAATTGAAACAAAAAGCGTGAGTTTTCCAGAGAGAAAGAGACACTCCATGTACTCTTTATATTTTAATTTTTTTAGATCTTCTCTTCGAATATCATAAATACGGACCTGTAAGCAAGCTCATGTAATTTCTCGGTGAATTCTTCGGGCACGCTACAAGGTTGCTGTGGAATTTCTTGCCGACTGAGGCTATACCAGAAGAGCACGACCATTAAAAAGAACGCTGCTAGAGCTCGCATAGGAGTGATGCGAAAGCGTCTCCGTGGGCAGAGACTCATGCTGATATCCTGAAAATCAGAAAATGTCTAGTAATTCGAATCGAAAGCATTATCGAATATCTTACAAGTCAATCTATAAATAGCTACAACATGTAACTGGATTTGAAACCTCAAACATATTTAACTTATCGCAAACATATTTAAGAAATCGATAGGAAAGTATCAGTGCTTTTAGACAGATCTGCAGGTTCTTGAGAAAGTTTACTTATTTATTTTTTCTTTGAGCGTTTCTAAAATTCTTGGATATATATTATTATATTTTGTATTTTTAGATTTTTATACATCCTTGATAATTTTTAAGCTCTTTAGTCTAAGGCCCGGTCGCACCATTATTTTATCTTTAAGCGAAACTTAAATATATGTCTGTCTTTATTTAGAAAGAAAGAAAGATAAAGATAGACATATATTTAAGTCTCGTTTAAAGCTAAAATAACGTTGATGCAACCGGGCCTAAGAACCTTGATTTAGATTAAATTTTAATATTTTTTGATTTTCAAAATTATCGGATTTTAGATGGTCTTTTTCGCTTCTTAGATTTCAAAATTTTTTCAAAGATCTTGATTGGACGTAACAATTTAATTACTTATCCATCCGTTTGCCATGACCAAAACGTAAGAAAATTTACGCGAAAGATACACATTCCCTGAAGAACATGCGTGACATCAACAATACATCTTCTGGACAGCAGTCCTCTCACAACATTGAACACACAGAACGAATCGCAAAGAACATACAACACTCGAGGCTACGTACTCGCGATGTGCGACGTAGTCATGACCCACGTGTGATCAGACTTCCTTGAATTTTCCCTTTACTTTTTTCTCACCCTCCGCAACGAAAATCGCTTTCTCGTGAAAACTCCGACACTCGACCTTTGACATGTTCAACGCGGCAACGTTGCAGGCTATTGATTTTTCTGCTCTACCGACGGTTTCCTCAGAGATAGCCTCATATCAAGATGATGAGATGAGAAATAAGAAACTATTTTATTAATCAATAAAAATATATTTAATTTTTCATTTTCAATTCTATAGTAATATCTATATTTTTAATTCTATATTCTTAAATTTGAAGGAAAAACTATTTGTAAAAACCTTGCATTATTGATTTTATTCTATATAAATTTTTATTCAATATATTTTATCTAGAAGAATATATTTATCTAGAAGAATATTCTTTTCTGCATAAATCTATTTATTAATTATTCTATTAATTAGAAAATAAAAGATTAGTAAATCTTTTCAGCTCTTTCAAATACTTATTACAAATTCATGTAATTGAACGAAATTAATCACTACTATTTAAAAAAAAAAATTTAATAATTGGAATTTAAGAGAATATCATTTAATGTTTACAGATCTCTACGTTATAGACATATTTTACGTGAATGCTAGTTTAAGATATAATATGCTATACTAATAAAAAATGTTATCATTTATTGTTTTAATCTTGATTCTGAAAAATATCTAATGATTTTTATGATCTAACATCTATTAATTTTTTGTGATAACAAAAGATTCATAAGAGTTCATTATTTAAATATGTACAAGAGAATGAGCAATCCTATGTTGGTACTAATTCTCTCATATCGATTTGTGGCATAGAAGTAAACTTGGTTGTAGATGTAATCGATTGTCAATAGTAATAGGATTTTAAATATTGCAAAGGTATTTCAGAAACTAGAGAGATCTTTCTAAGATATATTTAATGTAAAAATAAAATCAAAACTCTGTCATATATATTTTTTACGCTGCAATAACATATAATTTCTTGACCCTATAATTCCCTTGCTTACATAAAAATTTTTGATTGCAATCTTGATTTTTTAATTAATTATGTAGCATTAATAATAATCTTTTCAATTCCTCTACGCATGAAAAATTACTATGCTTTCCGCTAAAAACAAATAGTATTACTCCCGATAATTCTAATTTTAATCAAGTTTTTATTATTAAATTAAAGATACAGATAATAAAAAATAAGATATACGAATAAGTAATTGTATGATACAAAAACTGAGCATCAATTAACATTAATGATGATATTAAATTGATAGAATAATATGCAACATTATTAATTAATAAAAAAAATTATAAATCTCGTCATTCAGTTCACTTGTTCTTGTAAAGACTTCAAACTTCATATTAAATTTTTACAAAGTTTGTATTAAATGTTGCAAAATTATCATTATTCTTGATATCATGAGGCGAATTCGAGAAATTTTTATGAGAAACATTACATATGAATTTGGACAGATTTTGCAGGCATTGATTCTTAAAAGGAAATTATTTTGGAAAATGTTGGAGAACTATTTATGCTTGAATTCGAATGAGTCAAGACCAAAAGGGATATGTAGATTATGAAAAGGGCAAGAGATAAACGAGCGACGGAAGCGAGACGTGAAATTAACAAGCAAAAATAAAACGTATCCTCGATAATCTCGGTTGCTCGCAGAATTCCCGACCAGCGTGCTTCTCCGTTTCTCGCTCTATTTACTTTTTCTCAGAGCTGAATGAGTTATCGCGTCGGAGAACCCCCTGGGTTATCCTAATGAGCAGAAACGCCAATAAGCCAGTGCGTCTTCGGTCCTCGGCAGAGGGATGGTGAGTTCTTACGTCTTATTTTTAAACGGAGTGCCTGTTGATGAATTTGCGGACGCGTCGTAAATGGAACACTAACAATATCTTTGTTCGATCCTTTTCTAAGGGTGTTTACATATAATATAATAGAATGCCAACGATATTGATAATGTTTCCTTTAAAATAATTAGTGCTTTATAGAAAAAATGGATTCTGACATAAAAGAATTAATTGAACATGAAAAACACAATAGAATCTACTACTTTAGTATTCATAATGATAAAAAAATTAAACAAAATATTTAAAAAATGTAAAAAAATATAAAAAAATGTAAAATTTCTCGAAATGCACTATAATTTTTGATATTATTATAGGAAATTATTTATTTAGAAATAAGAAATAAAAAAAATAAAATTTTCCTTACGATTCATCGTATGTATCATATATCTTATGTATCATATATCATATATCTACTTTTATATACATGTTTCACAAATAAATCTCAAGATTCGAGAATATTATCACGGTATCACGAGCAATTACGTCAAGGCGGGCATTAATTCTCCGCTACCGGGGTCGGGAGGATGCGAGCTCTCTCCGGAATAAAGGAGTCTCGATCGGGCGAGGCTGAAGAAGGAGAAGGAGAATGGAAACGAGAAAAAGGAGGAGGATGCGCCAAGAGAGAAAAATTGCGCTCGATGTCGTGGAAACGGGCGAAGCCGTAAAACAAACGGTCGGACGTCGCGCCTCTCTCTTTCTCCGCTTCTAATTCTGTCTTGTCGTTCCGGCCAGTCTTTCACCGTGTATTTTCGTAGCGCGTGTCACCTAAATCTAAGTGCCTTATCTAAGCGCTTTTCGAGCGTCAAATCCTGAGGTCTGTCGTCGAGCCACGTGCCTTTTAAAAGTTCTTAAAAGAGATATAAATTTTAGGATAAATATAAGTTACGTAGAAACAGGTTTAAAATGAATTAGAAATTCATTACATTGATTTGAAAAATTAAGATACACCCAGAGATCAGGTGAAAATAATGCTCTCATTGCGCTAATTCAAAAGAAATATATCATATGTACACACACATGTACGTATAAAATATATTGTACAAAAATATTTACATGTAAAATAATTATTTTGTAGTGCATTTTTAATAATTATGATTAATCTTTATATCAAATTCTTGATAGAAAATTAAAAGTAAAAGAAATAATAGGAAATATATACATAAATGTACTTACCTAAATAAACTTTTGCTTTCTTGTAAACAAAATAAAATTTGTTAACAATTAACTTTATAAATACACAAAACTTTGTAAAAAAGATTACCATAAATTTTTAAAAATACATTTAAACACATGCTAGTAATACTGCGTAAAGATTACATTAAAAATGATATTAATGTCGCATTGATACCGCACCATATAACATTAGTTTTGAAAAATTCACTACTGGAGTAAAACTACTGCGTGAATTTACTTCTCGTATTGTGTTAAATATATATTTCGTAACGACACTAAACACTGTATGTGACGCGTGACCTTTGGTCGAGTGACGTATAACGCGCTATCATAACACGCTATGTCTATAAGGCCGTGGCCTTGTTGTCATTCGCATGACAAGGCTTGAGTGAGAAGGTAGCAGTGTGATGTGTCGTCGTATCTCTCGACATATATAATCGTGATTCTTATTACGAGTAGATTATCAGCTCGATTAATTTTCGCTGTTAACGAATAAACATATCGGAAGTGACAGCTATATAATATATTCATATTAACATAATTTTGACTTGCGCAATCGATATATTTTCAATAGGAACTGAGGTTAAGTAATAGAAAATCGAAATTATGAATAGTTTTATTGCAATATTCGCAGGCGATTACTATTTTTACAAATATATTTGGAATATATTTTATCTCGCATTGTGAATTTTTTGTCCATTTATAACACGTGATAGCAAAATTATTTTAAAACGCTAGCGCATTTGTTAACAATAGAAATAGCATTCACGGTGAATGATACGCGAATTTAATTGACGAACTCAACGATGGTTGAGTGAATCGTCGAAATGTAATAAAGTGCAATATAAAATCGCGAGCGATAATATCGGGAGTGCCGTGCAAAGTTCGCGCGATTATTGTATTCTGTATTTTTGATTACTGCACGCGTGTTTTCGCGAGTGAGTGTTAATTAAGAACAACAAAGGATGAAGTGAATCAGAGAGGAAGAGAAATCCTGGATTGATAACGGGACAATTATAGAGGTGAGTAAAAACTTATTTAATTAATTATTAAATATATTATTATTTAATTTATTTATTATACCTGTGAAATAAATTGTTTGATTGCCTCTACAGTACTAATAAATTATTTATATTATTATATAACTGCATATAAAAATACTATAAATTTTATTTTTTTAAATAGTTAAAGTTCTTATTTAATAAAATATTTGTATCAATATTTTTATATAGTAATTAATACTTTTATATAGAAATATTTACAAGCATTGCATAATTATTTAGATTATTTCTTAAATAAAAAAGAATAGAGAAAATCGATCAGATTTATATATAAAAGACATACACATATGCATGTGTGTATAAGAAAAAGAAATATTAGAAGAATTTTTTTCTGATGATTATTCTACATGTAATTAGTAACTCGTTTTATCGATAAATAATTTCGTTTAAGAAGACAATAATTTATCTATTTAGCAATTCGATTGCCACGTTTCGTAGCAAATTCTGCATTTCATAAATTCCGAAGATCATTAATCCTAGGCGTCGTAGATCCGTGCTTCTCGAATTACTTTCCTTCGCATTCGGGAACCGAAAAGTCGGCTCGATGATCCCGGCATTCCCGGCAGTCCTCGCTCGCTATCGCGAAAACACCGACAGCCTTTGAGGTCCTCCTTCGCCGACGATCGTTGAGGGTTTTTACCCTCGTGGAATCCACGAAACGCTTTTACGTACGCGTTGGGCCCATTGAAATGCAATTCGCGTCCTTCGATCTGGTCCATCAGCCTTTCCATCTTCTACCCTCTCTCTCCCCTCGACTACTCCTCATCGGTAGATTGTCCTTCGATTAACCACTAATCTGCTCCTCTCCGCCGCTTTCTCTACTTGCGATCCATCTCTCTTTGCCGTTTTTCTTAGTTATATAGCAAATATAAACAATGACATATAACAAAAATTATTCTATATCGAAATAAACAGAATGAAAGTAAGATAGAATTTTAAAAAAGTCAAAATAAAAATTCTAAACAAAAAAACCATAAAATATAGAATCTGAATAATGTTGGCTTCAAAGTATATTCAGATTTTGTATGACTTAGAATTCAAAATTAAACATCACACACGAGATATAAAGACGTAATTTCCAAATGTTTCATTTATACGATGCAATCCTTGCACGAACGGTCGGAAACATCGTTGTAGAGATATCGCTTGTGTTTTTCGTGACAAGAAGAGAGAAGCGATAACGACCTGGCGCGAGTCAGCGTTGACAACGCGAAGAATAACCGTGCGGTCAATATGCGTTAAACGTCTGCGGCGTAAACGTTTAACGTTCCGCTGAAATATATGGACATTCCGCGACATTATTTCGAATACGTTTCACCGGCCGTTTTTACATGTCGACGTAAATCACGCCGTGTTCGTCTTGGCGCATTCGCGTCGTCTCCCTCTCCGCTTTTCTTCCGTCCTTTGATCCGAGAATCTTGAAATATTATTCTAGATATTATTATTATATGCTACTATCAGAAAATTTATCAGTGTTTTATAGCGGATATTATTTTTTTTAAATATCGAAATCTATCTCTTCTTTCCTAAAGTAATATACGATAAAAGATGTGGGAGTAAAAGTCTAGAATTTGTCCGAAATTATTTGAAATACATTTAAAACGAAGAGAAATACGGTATTACATTACGACACCGAAAATACTGACGATCAAAGTGTGTCGACATTTCTTGCACGACGAGTAATGGCGTAGTTAAGAAGTTAATTTATGGAGAACGCATTCTCTCTTTCTCTCTGCGCGAGGAATCCGAAGAAGGAGACGGATCGCACCGTGTCCACGTGTCACCCGTCGCGCAGAAACCGTGACGATATTAGTCGACTTCTTCGACGACCGGTGGTCACCTGTTCGAGTGAACGTTGCACGTTCGGTGACTGTTGAACTGGAGAACTGTCAGCAAGTACACCGTCGTCGCCGAGACGGCGAGTGACGGTAATCTATGCGTACAAATGGCCAGGAACACCTGTTCACCTTCATTTAGCGACGAGTACCGAATGCATCATATACCCGATCAACTGATCATACGTATATCTTTTGATTCTTTTACGCAAGGTGTAATTTACGTCAAGAGAGATTATTTTTTTAAATGTTTACTTTTTTGCGAGTAATCAAACGACAGACGTTTGCATAGCGCAACCTTGTCACTATCAAAAACGATAAGATAATAAAAGCGAGCCTCTTTATCGTATTTTAGCGACTGTAATATCTATATTTATTTTGCGCAAAAGAAACTTTATCTATTCTCGAACGTAGCACTCTTGATATCGAATCAAATTTATCCGAGAGAAAGTCTTTTTTACTGTTTTATGGGCTGAAAATTCACAATTCTTTCATTAGTTTTTACGAGAAATGATATAAAATGTTTAAATGAAAAGAAGCAAGTCTTCAGAGATATTCACCTTATGGAGATTCATCTCATTATCGCGATAGGAAGAGAGGTAGAAAGACAGAGAGGAGGATGGAACGGAGAGATTCTTGGAAGGGGATGAAAATTTTTATTTGCCGTTTACGAGTCGATTCAGGGCTGCGGAAGGACCCTGCCCCAAGGAAGGACGCTTTAATATCCGCTTATGACGGCTATGTTTCACAGTCTGAGACACCCACTCGGCCCCATTCCGCCCCATCAACCCCCATAGTGCGTTTAATTTACGTGTTTTCGCGAGTTATTCGCTCTCCCATCCCCCTGCACGACCCTCGTCGAAGGGGGTCGGTTGCCATGGCGATGCCGGGCGTCCCGGCGTCCAATCGTAGGGCGCCTACACCGAGTCGACGTCGGCCCTGCGAGGACGAGAAGGACGATAATAATTGATGGGGAAGGCAGGGTGCCACATCAGGGGTTGTGCGGGGATGAGCGGACGGGTTGGCGGTTTCGTGATGGAGCGGGGGGGTTAAATCGACAATCGAAAAGCGCCGCGCTTTGCTCGCCACTCGGAAGTTCATTGCGGGATAAAAATAAGAAGAAGGATTCGCGAGGAATACCCTCCCTTTCAAACGAGACGAGGTCGCGAACCGGGGAACGCAAGAATGCGAAAGAAGGCCGAAGCACTTAAACAATCCACAGAGAAACAAACAAAAAAACGAAAAGAATTAGAAATATTTAAAAATCCACGAGTTTCAAAGATTGTAAGAATTACAAAAATTATGGAAAACTTAAAAATTCAGATGTATACTAGTCTTCCAAGCGATTCGAAATATTTATATACAAAAGTGAGATGTTTCTCTTATTTAATAAATACCTAAAATAGTTATATTTAAAAACGAGAAAATAGGTGGAGTTTTAAATCTTCAAAAGAGTTTCATCAGATTCGCAGCATTACTTCAGGTTAAATGATGAAGAAAAAGTCAGTCTCTCATCTCGTTCGAGTCCCTCGCATCAATTTCCAAATTCGCATATCCAAGAGTCCATGAGAAGTACGGATTCATCAGAATCCGACACGGAAAGAGACTCGCGATTCGCGCGGTACCTACGCTATGCGATGCTCAAATTCCGGTGACTTGTGGTGTCACTCGTTGAATTCCGCCGGCTCTAACGACGATTTCCTGTCCGTTGTGTCGGGGACGAAGAGTATTTCAGATACGTACGTACCGGCAACGTACAACACGGCCTCCTGGATCAACGCGCGGTCCGGCATTTGTGAGAGTTGAAACGAGACTCACTTCCTTTGCCTTCCTTCTCGTAGTTGATCCCATAAGGCTCGTTGCACATATCGCAAATACGGTATATTCGATTCATATTCCCTCTCTCCTCTCCTTAGTTCAATGACAAAAATTCCTTTATCTTGCAATAAATTTGGAGGTACTCTTAAAAATTTAAAAACTAACTTAAAAACAAAGAGAGAGATTGATGAAGTATGTTTAATGAACATGCTTTTTTGTCAACTCTAATATAATTTATCAACATCAATGCATATCAATTAACGCGAAATAGAAAGACGTAACTAATTGGCGATTCGTGCTATGTGAAGAGATAAATGCAATCTCGTGTATTGAGATCGTGGTCCAGCGCGAAGACAGCGTGGTACAAGCGAAGATTTTATCTCGGTCGCAACGCTCGAGGGCCGAGAAAAGGGATTCTCTCAGGCTTCTCTTTTTCCTTTTGTTTTCTTTCTAAATCTTCGAGGTGCTACTGCAGATTTGCATGAGATCAGTTACCGATTAACGTTGATAGAATCGCCGTCGATTTCGGCTCGAATTGACATCACTGGTTCCTTGGACTTTTTTTTAATTATTTTTTTTAACCTGCGAAGAAATATGTTGCAATAATGGACGATAATTTTTAACATTTTCTTTTCTTTTTTATCTTTTCGATCATTCTACAACCTGTATCTTATAAAAAATTTGTTTGTTAAACTTTATTTGAGAAGAGATAGTACGTTAATTTTATTGATTGCCAATTGTAAATTAAAAAGAAAGGATGTAATCAACTTCGTTTATTTGCACAGCTGTTGTCGTCAGTATAAAGAGTTCGTCGAAATTCGAAGCAATGTCAGCATCAATACTTAGTTAGTCGCGAACTGAACTGAGGCCTGTATTAAGAGAAAATCGTAGTAATCATGTTGAACGTAAGTGTACATTATTAATTCGATTAATCATCAATCTGATAGCTACATAGTGTTGATTTTGATTGCATTGAATAATTATTTCGGAAGAAAAAAAATTTTGTACTAGTTTTTGTATCAAATTTCTGAGTGTCATGATATAATTTTTACATGTGTAGATATATTTTATAGAGTGTGCTTGCTTTAAATCCTAAATTTAAAAAAATTTAAATATTTAAATAATGGAATATTAAGATTTTTAAATATATAAAAGTCTTAAAATTTCCGAAAAAATTTATACTATTTAGATAAATAAGATAGGAATAATAGAGGATATAGAATAGAGGAAATAAAAGAGGAACTTATAAAAGTTTTACAATTTGGCATTCAATGATAAAAGTGTTTAGATTTGTGAATTATAAATTAA